CTGGCCATGTACGCGCGACGAAGAGAGGAAAATCAGCGTAATGAAGACGCGAAGTTGAGATAAGCCATAAGGGTGTCGATGCGGGACCGTATTTCAAAGACTTCATACGAAGCGCAGTGAAGGTCACATCAGTTGTGAAGAAAGTGCAAGAAAGATTTTCGATGGTCTGGATGCGAGAGGACAAGACAAGAAAACCACATCACGAGATTGCTCATGTCAGCGGAAGTGCCGAGCAAAAGGCGACAGGAAAACCTAAGTTGCGGTGGATAGGCAAAGTAAGACAGATTGAGAGAGCTTGGTGTAGATGAAGAGCAAGCCTTGGACCGAGAAGAAAATGGAAATCAGTGACAAGAGCGGCAGATCCAGCGTGGCGAAAAAATGCAAGGATAAATAATATTGCAGAGTAATTGTATAAGCGGAATGCAAATTTAGACAGATCCACGCTTGGCTCAAAGGCTGTGCTGGTTCGCAACACCCATTGCAGCACCCAGTTAAAGGAGATCAACGCGCGATGCGCCGCTATAAAAGGGGGCCAGCAGTATCGATGAATCACTTCTATCGTCACGCAGGGCACTGAGCCCTTTTCTTAGTTTTTTAGTTCCTGTTCTCATCCTAGGGTTCTAGTGGTAGGGTTTTTCTATGTTTGTTCTCTATCATTCCATTTTGTTTGTGTCTCTTTTTATTGCTCAGAAATATCCAGGATCTTCATCATTCATCATTTCATGATTCACCTTTTGTATCTCATATTTCGTTGTTGTGTTTCGTCGTTTCTTGGTAAATAAAGTTTAATTAACCAAGTTTGAGGTGCGCACGAAACGGTCTGAACCACGCTATTTCCCCTTTGTGTTGGACAAGCTGGACCACCGAAACCAGAACCAGAAACTCAAAGCCAGGTATCTAGGCCAAATTCATTCCAACACAATCGACTCTGATATCCATCAGATTCGAGTACAAGACATAGAACACATGGACCCACCTGACGGCTCCGATATATCTCAGAATCGAGAACAGGACACAGAACACACAGATCCACCTGACAATATACTAGTAACACAAAATCAACAACCAGATACGCGGTACAACCTTAGATCTAGGATACAGAACAAAAACTACCCTTATAATGAAGATTATGAAGTATATCTTATACAAAGTGAATCTTCTTCATTACAGAATGAGCGTCGAACAAACCAGAATCTTGAACAAAACCTATACGCTGTGCCAGAAGATTTACGCCAGATTAGGGGAGTTGGAAAAGAAGGTGGAAAAGCACGCTGAACTCCTACTAGAAGCCCAAATCAACACGGTCGTGCAACTACAGAAACAGAAGGAGCCGAAAGAAGAGGAAGCAAAGGAGGACGCGCTGGACATTCCGGACGAGCAGGACACTCTCATTCTTCTGGACAACTACGACGTCCATCAAGCCCCGCCGGAGTGTGCTGGATCGCAGCACCCATTGCGGCACCCAGTCAAAGGAGATCAACGCGCGATGCGCCGCTATAAAAGGGGGCCAGCAGTATCGATGAATCACTTCTATCGTCAAGCAGGGCACTGAGCCCTTTTCTTAGTTTTTTAGTTCTTGTTCTCATCCTAAGGTTCTAGTGGTAGGGTTTTTCCATGTTTGTTCTCTATCATTCCATTTTGTTTGTGTCTCTCTTTATTACTCAGAAATATCCAGGATCTTCATCATTCATCATTCCATGATTCACCATTTGTATCTAACATTTCGTTGTTGTGTTTCGTCGTTTACTTGGTATATAAAGTTCAATTACCCAAGTTTGAGGTGCGCACGAAACGGTAAGAGCCACGCTATTTCCCCTTTATGTTGGACAACAAGCTGAACCACCAAAAAGAACCAGAAGCCAAAAGTCAGGTACTTAGGCCAATTCATTCCAACACAAAGGCGCCGTCCACCCAGATTCTCGACTTCCATGTTTTGGTCGTTCCGAGGTCTTTTCATGTCCCTGATTACAAATATGAAGTCGAAATTTCGGGAAAACCCCGACATCCACCATTCCAGAGGAGGCCGGAGGCCGGTTCTCCGGAACGATGATTGGATGGGCACGCACGGATGGGCGGCAATTACTGGATGAGTATTGAGACACATGAGCTTCGAACAGTGAGCAATGCCAGGGACCTTGGTATAGTCCAAGTTCGACTCTCGATTAATCTCGGCATGTTGCAAATGCTTGTTGTGGCTTGTTTAGCTGGACACCGGGATTGGTATATCCTTTATTCGACTAACGTTTCGGCGGTATCGCCTTCTTCAGAGTCTGAAATCATCGAATGCATAAGTGAACTATCCTATCAAAAACCGCCTCAAGACCTAGGAAAACGCCCAATGCGTCAGTGAATCAAGAACTCGAAAGTGAATGCAGGATTAAACTAATGCTCACCCAAACAGATGCCGACCTTGGTATAACTTATTCTGACAAGCTAATGTTTGAGAATTATATATGCCGTTGCCGCTCACGCCAGGTGCAATTACATCCTTCGTGGATTCAAAAGTACTAATGTAAAAATTCTCTTTCGCCTTTTCATCATCTATGTTTGTCCTCTATTGGAATACTATTGGAATACCGCACTCCACTGTGGTATCCCTCTGAGAAAGCCTCTACGGTATTTATAGAAAGAGTCCACAGATCGTTCACTGCCAGAATTTTTGCCCGAGCTGGAATATTCCGACTGTCATACAAATCTAGGCTCTCTATTCTAGCCACTACTACTCTTGCGTTTAGAAGAACCCTTTATGACCAAAACCTTGTCTTCAAAATAATGACCAACAGGATTGGATTAGAAATGCAAGATTTCTTTTGTCTCTCGAGTTCAAACAATTATACTAGAGGACACAGAGAGGACACATGTTCAGGCTTTTAGTAGGGAAAGTGAGGAACCAGCAATTCTATAACTCCTTTTAGAGTTAGTGCGTGTCATCAAAACTTGGAATGGGCTCTCAGTGGAAGCTATCACCGCAAGATTTACATTCGTTTTCAGTAGAGAAGTTCAAAAATTTCTGAAATTACAGGGGTTATTTTGATACCAATTCCAAGGAACTTTGCGATAACGACGTTCCTGTTCTCGGCAGCGAATTCTGACTGATGTATGGTCTGGTCTTCCAGAAGGCGAATTCTTTCCGCACTATGCTCGATGTTCCGTTTTTTCTGTTCTCCCAAGTCCGAAAAAACGTATCTACCTTCATTGATGCCTCTACCATTTCTATGTATTGCAACTCTCTTGAATTATTTTTTTTGTTTCAATGTTCTCCTGATTATCATTTCGTTCTTTTTTCGTGGTGAGCATCCCTCTTTTCCGAGGGTCTTTATTTGTAGTGTTCCTTTCTTTGCATCTCTCTTATTGTCCTTTCGAAAACCCTAATTCTTTTCTCTGGATTATGGCCAGCTAACCTTTGCACCCTGGCTCGCTGGCTCCCAAACGGGAGGTATCGTTTTCAAAAGACGTATGAGATTTTGGTTGACCGTTGAAATAATTGATCTTCCCCGTCTAGAGTCGCTTGATATCGACTTTACAGTTAAATCTATCTAGTGTATAAAGAAACGTAAGCGCAATTCAAAAATCTGCAAATAGCGGGAAACCGCGTGGCGGTCGAAGCGAACGCTCTTGCAAATAGCACCTTTGGATTACTGGTTCACTAGTAAATAAATAAATAGAGCATCATCAGTCCTCATGTAGACAAAAAACGAAATTTGATGTACCAATCTAATAATGATTGAGCTCATGACTTACAGCCGAATCGTCGGACGAAAAGACTGCGGACTTATCGGCGTCTCTCTGATCAAGCACTCTTTCGTTCCCCTTACTGTCTGCTGTCTCTCTCAAGCACGAGCTATCTTGATCGGACGCAATGGCGCCCAGTCTTTGCGTGTTATGAATCGCCGGTACATGTATCTGGAAATGACCAAGATTCACTTTGTAAACATTTATCCTCATAATGTCTTTTGTACCACATTTATTTGACCAGTCGTTATTTTTGAGTGCTATTTTTGTTACGTTTATCTTGATCGTCATTTTTATCGTTTACTTTTAGTTAAGTAAAGGGTTAATTACCCAAGTTTGAGGTGTTCGGATGAGTTTGAGGGGTGAGGTGAACGAAGCCTTGCGTGGCAATAATCTTTATGGTACTTGGTTGACGAGTGGTGTTGAACGTTTATAGTTCTGTATCGTTTCGTTTACCACAGTGCCTTTGATGCGTTGAGAAACTTGCACTTAGCTTACTTTATATAGTCAATACCTGTATGCGAGCTGAGTGTGTATAATTTCGCAAATCGTAGGTAGGATCTTGTAATGAAACTGGTCATAACTTCGTTCACCAAGGCGTTCAGCAGACACGAAGAACAGATTTGAGGTCGGCTTTGCATGCTGCATTCACAGGAATGCACCCCCTTTGGATTAGCCACTTCGACTACTGACCATTCCTCTGTTAGCTTCAAGTCATCTCAAGAGACTTTGCAATTTAATTCTTTGGTAATTTCCACTGCTTCAACCCGTTTGAATGTTTGACATTCATTACGAAAGTGTCCCTAATTTGAAAACGTACGTTGCCTGTATATCGATGATAATTTGTAGACAATAATGCACAGTGCTTCATTCAAAGTACGTAACGACGAAGTCCAATAACTTTTTGAATTTGCGCTTAGTGGCTGGACACAATGCAATTGAAGTTCATTAGAAACCAATGGAATTTTGTGCCGCATTTTACTTGTTTCAGCAATTTGTGGACAAGCGACAATTTTCTCTGTGAGAATCGATTCATTTTTTTTCAAGAAAAATTTTGTGTTGGAGAAACTGCGGAGTAGACGCCTTGTATATAGAGATTTGAATCCGATCCAAGCGGCGGTCTGACATTGGTCACTCATCTGGGAGTACTGTAACGAATTTGATGCTGTAGACACGCATTGCCGCAAATGCACACCTAACAAAAAGAATGACAGTCTGTCTTCATTTAATGTCACCATTTTTGAAATTGTTTTGTCATTAACTTTAGGATGTCATCAGTAAGCTTTTTAGTAAAAGTACCAAATAAAGATAATAGTCTCGGTATTTAAGCTTTGAACGGCCTACATTGAAGCTCTCATTATTGGTCTTTTGATCTTCGATCTTTCCTCACAAATTTGTTTGTTCCAGTTATCGCAGTGTGTAGGAATTCGGAGATCTCTATTGCAGTTATTTTGCTAAAGAGCATGTAACTCTATCGTTGATTGATCTCAGGAAGAGAGGTACGTTTATGTTGAGCATATGGGAAATAAAAGTTACATTTATTTCAAGAAAATTCAAGGATAACAGCTCATATCCATGCCATAATCATTTCACGGTCATTGTAAAATATTGTTTTTAGCTTTCTTATCTGCGTCATTTTTTTGCGTTATATATCATGCAATATCTGGAAGATATCATTGAATGTAAGTTGCTCTGCCATTCAACGAGCAGGTTTGAAGGATGATTTTCAGTGGTTGAAGACTTACCAGAAGAAATATGTAAAAGATTCGAACAAATACGCAAGTGGGATAGCGATGTGGAAAGTGAGTTGCATGTATCTGACTGAGAAAACTGACAAGATTTGTTGCGATTTGCTGGTTTGGGGAACATTCCAAGCTGATTTTTTTGGTAGTTCTCCATCGTGCACTCATTCAGTTTATTCCGAAAGTGTGATGTAGGACGGAGTTTGATAGTATTTCATCTAATCCGGCCTTTACGGTCTGTGCTGGAATTGTTAAAGTCTTGACCACAATTGAGTCGTATTAGCTGTTCCCTGCTCAGCGGTCAACGAAGGCTTTCAGTCGGTGTCTGCAGAGTCCAGAAACCCAAATTCAACTGAAATTTGCCCTCAGCCTTTTGTCCAACGCCGCGGGTAGTTTTGAAAGTAGTGAAAATGGAGTAAATTGCTTATCAGTAGTGAAAATCTAATCAAATGGTGACATCATTGTGCACTACACGGACAATATCTTCTTGATTTTTTATAAAACATTACGAACGCTCACATCCGGTATTGAAAAGAACCTACTCAGCTTGTTTAGCAGGATGTGTTAACGGATGCGACTAGCATGAAAGCTCCTTCTTCAGGGTTGAAACTGGAATGCAAGTATGCGGCCAAGCGTATCATGGAAGTGACAGAAACTTCACAGTCAATGAGGGAACGAATTCTGATGGAGCTGGCTGATGTAAGCACGTATGCCTCTTTCGATTTATTGTTATTTGAGTTTTCTCATCAACATTTGTTTTGCTGATAATCTAACTTTCTTTAGAAATATCGGCTGATTCATAGACTGAGTGAAAGAAAGCTGGACCTTGCAATCAGGAGCCAAAGGCTTATGTCAGCAGTACTTGACAAGGTCAGCCTTGCTATATCCCACTGTTTTCCTACTTTTTGAAACTTCTTATCACCATCGGGATACCTTGCTAGGCTGCTTGCACTTATTCTTGAAGAAAAATTCAAGAAGCGTGGTAATACAGTGAAACAAAGTATTCAATGCATGTTCACAAAGGTTACACACTTCTTAAAGCTAATTTTAAAAAGCGTTATCAGTTTTACGAAGATCCGGAGGCAGCGATTCTGAATGTGCATTTTGGCAATGATTCTCATCAAAAGCACCCATTGGCCGTCGTGGTTGAAGCTGCTTGATACTCGTAAAGGGTACAAGGGCATCAAACCATTACAATATCGGCTGAAAACGCAGCTGCTATTCTGCGCTCCATTCTCCTATCCCCAGCTTAAATCCGAGCAATAGTTTCTTGCAACTCATCATCAAGGCGATTTGTACATATAGAGCAGTCACGGGAAGATCTGGTGTACATTATAGGGATAGCACTTTTGATTTTTTTTCAACAAGTGTACTGTTTTTGCAGTATCACCCTTACGAATTGCCACGCTATTTGTGGGAGAATCTTTGAGTCCGTGGCATAGGCAATCTATAGACTTTCAATCATAATTTTTGGAAAGGAGCTGATTCACTTTGATCTTAGTCAAAGTTACGAGTACATCACTTACTTAATTTTAGGTAAACGATTCGTCCTATCTTTGCAAGATTGAACTGGAGGTTGACAATCCAGGATGTACAGAAAACATTGAAAGAAGTACGTGACTGTTTTTCCTCGCTTAATGTTGCCTTTCCAACCTCTGCGAAATGACGGTTTAACTCACATAAGCAGATCTCCATTAACATTGAATAAGCGGGTCCATTTCATTGTTTAGTCTTGCAAAATGTGGATATCGAAATATCTGCTTAATGCTTCACTGCTGTGTTGACGCATGCTACTTTTGAGTCGGGGGCAAAACAAATTTGAATAGTCTGGAACTTTGATCTCTGCTTTACTTTTGTCAGTCCAATCCTTTCTGTTTCAGATTTTTGTCGCATGCTCGGGTTGAGGCCGACATCATCCCATTTGTCCTCGTGTAACATGGAGTTCGAAACGGCAGATGATGCATCTTCGGTCGCTTCTGAACACTCAAATGGTAGATACTCACCTGCTGCTGATCGCAGACATGGCGGACGACATCGTCTCACCAATGGTGACTTTCATTTACCTGTTTATGCACTACTCTTTATTTGCCCGGTGAGAGGGGGGGGGGGAGGATCAGTGATCACTTTTCGTAGAGATTTGTGGAGCAGATGTTGGAGCAGGGAAAAAATTTTGGAGAACGATGGGAGAAGTATGTGCTAATTTTCTCGGTTTACCACGCAAAAAATCGAAGCTGACAGAGTCTGAACACAGGTCATCATTGTCTAAGCCAAAGCAATGTAATGCGTGTGAATATGCCACCTTTTACACAGCACATCATTTCTTTGGTTAAAGAAACACTTTTGCGTGGTCTGTCCTAAGCCCACTTATCGCAGAAGTATTACTCCAGTTGGTACTCTGTGTTCTACAATAGGACTTGCAGGAAAACCTCACAGGGAGAAACATGAGAGAAGCGCATCACCCAGATCTGTGACAAGCGAAGGTCAAAACTCCGGTACTGGATCAGGATCAAGATCGAAGGTGTGTTAGACTGCTAACACCATTTTTTGAAGCTGTAACTCTATTTTCCTGCAGTAAAGTGCGGTTTTTTCTTTTCCAATAATGCTATAAGATGTAAGGAAGGCGCGCCGAATTGTTTCTTTTAGCAGGTTCAGAAATAATGAGGCGGTCGGTTATTCCAAAAGCGTACTCACTTCTTGATCATCAGTACTGGTACGATTGCGCATTACCCAAATAAAGTTTCGCGATCATATTCATCAGCTGCAGAAAACCTTTTACTGAAAGTCTGTTCAAAGCGGTTGTTGCGAGGTTTCCGACTTCCGTTTTTGTTTTTCTAAGTTTCTTTTTCTCAACCCATTCCAAAGCTTGGAGAGCTCAGAATGAAGCACTTTGACATGGTCTAGATGAGAACCTTACGTTGCTGTCATGGTGGGTATGTAGTACCAACTACATCGGTCACCTTTGCCTCCAGGTTTTGCAACTGCAAAATAGCGTAGGGGGCTATATCCACGACAGAACTTATGATCTCGTAGTTCAGAGAGTTCCTAGTTTAGTCACTGCTACTTTTTATGTGCGCTCAGCTAGCCCAATGTTACAGTACGATCTGTTATGGGCACATTCCTAACCCTCTGTATTTCAGAAGCGAAAATATCAGTCTGATGGGCATCCTACCTTGTCGAATTATATGAGGAAAAAGCAGGAGAAGGAGCGGGAACGATCGAAGTTAGCACGGGTGCACGCAGCGCGGCAAGAAGAAAGTCAGAGGAAACAGCAAAAGCTTTCCATCGCTAATGACTTCGGTGAGTTTGCCAAGTCATAGATTATAACATTGCCTTATCACTTCTAGACCTTTACTTTTATTGTTTACGTGTGCTGTTGTAGCAGACACTTCTTCTCCATGCAAAAGTAGTGACATGGCTCCTCTTACTGTAAAAACTGAAGAGAATCTCCATGTGGAAGGACAGCCGTGGGAAAGCCAAGGTATACTGGATTTGTTGCATTGTCGTTTATCTGTTTTCCTTGATTAACGCGTATCTATTCAGATCCGCTAGGTTCTGAAGATGACCTAAATGCCGAAGAAGTTCTGGATTTATTCCCAATGCTACCTTCGCCACCGAGAGAAATTATGGAATCGCTAAAGGTTTGTAAATCGTGATCAACTTTGTGTTGAGATGCAAAAAAGCGCCTTATAGGAGGAATCCTTATTTGGACTTGAAGACGACATTGGATTTGATCCAACTTCGAAGGTAGGCAACTTTTTATTATTCGACGCCATTGGAACGGCATTTCGAGAACATTCTTAAAAACTGTTGTTCTAAATAATGATCTTTGGCGATGTGCGAAATGTTGGATTAGTTGTGCAAGCTTTTTTATGGTACTATATCACCCGTAACTTGACAGCTAGTTTAGTACGCTGTTTACTTGTGTTTGGGGTAAACCTTACAAATTTAGGCATTTTCTGACTCACCAGCCATGTCAGGACTTGTCCTTGATTCACTGCCATCATCACCGTCACCCTCAACTAGCGTCTCATCATGGGATAGGAAGAAAAGAACCAGCATATCTTTTGGAAATGTCGAGACCACCAGCATCCATGGACGTCCAAGAAAGTAGGTACCGTAAATTTATGTTTCTTGTCATGTTTCAAGCATTACATTCTACTACTATTCACGGCAGTCGTGTCTTGATCGATGGATGGTCTTTCTTTCTTTCTTTAAGAAATATGATTCTTCCAGAATGACGGAGCGCGCTGTGGAGTTGCTGCAGAACCACAAGGTCCGCGAAGATCGAAAGCGGAAAGTGGACATCGATGGAGAGACCAACGAACGATGGTGTTTTTGCAGAGAGGTGAGTTTTCTTTTGTTGAATGTCTCAAAAATCTGTATTCTCCAATAAATTTTCTTGAGCTTTGTTATGATTCCATTCATAGAGTAGCATTTGAAGTAGGTCTCAAAAAGCACATTGGTGAAGCTCTTGGTCACAGTTCTTGGGTGCGGAAGGGGTTTTTTCCAGAAGTAAAATTGAGCAGTGTTTTTTCAGGGGTCCAGTGGAAGCATGATTTGCTGTGATGCTAGCGACGTAAGTAACACCTTTTTCTCTAATGAGATTTATTCCTTCATGAGATATTCCATGTTTTCAGTGCAAGTATCAGTGGTTTCATTTTGAGTGCGTTGGGCTTGTCGTTGAGCCCAAAGGACAATGGTTCTGTTCAGAGTGCGCCGCGAAACGACAGTGAGGTCGGTTCATTTTCTGCTTGTCAAACTACTGCTAACTATCCATCCCGTTCATGGTTAAGAAGTTTGTTTTCAGTGTCGTGGAACCACTCTGGGCGATTCTAGGTGACGATTAGTACCGTTTTCACTTATGTTGTTCACTTTTATTGATTGTTTGTTATAGAAAACTGTGTTATAGGTGTATTTCGCTTTGTTTCAAATCTTTCACCGAGTGAGAGCGTGCCTTCTCTTATCCTTGCGGTTTTTTCTTTACAGAATTATTGCTCACATTAGGTTTGTCAAGCTCAGCTATTCAGCAGCGGGTCGGTAGAAGTGGGTCAACAATTCTATGAAATAGACCAGATTTTGACGTTCTAATCTTTGCTCCTCGAGGAACGATCTCATTTGGTCTCTTCTTTGATCTTTCCGTGACAATTGCTTGGACTCCTCTCAGTTTTTCTGTAAAGTTTTTTGGTGTGCTGTAACACATGTTCTAGGTGTTTTTCCCTTGCATTCGAATTTTGTTTGGACAGGGTTGTTATTTCCAAATAAAATTTTCGAAACTTAATTTTCACACCAGTCTCTCAATTTTTAAAAAATCAAATTTAGTTGTGAGTGATTCTAGGATGAATATCGGTTTTGACTTCCAGGAGCGCGTAGGCCGCTAAAACAACACACATGACATATTATTGCGCCTCAGCGAGGTTCACATATCGTTTGTTCCCCAGCAAGGTTCCCATAGGTACCACGTCATCTCGCCGCCTTCCGCACTTTTAAACGTGTTGACCTCGGGCACTTCCGTTGAAATCTCAGGATAAACGTGTCAAAAAGAGCTAAAGGCAGCGTCGCACCATGTACGCACGCTGGTTCACATGGGAACCTCTCTGGGGCGCAGACGGTAAGTACTACCTGTTTTAGCGGCTTGTCGCCGACTCAAGCGGCTCGATTCTGCGCGGGCGCTCCGCTTGTGCTCGGCATCGCATCCGCATGTGTTCTCTAATCATGTTTCAGCTTCTCACGTAAGGCTTGGGATGATCAGAAGACACGTTCTCAGGCGTGGTGCAGGAAGGCTAGTCGACCGCGCGGAATTAACCGCTTCAAATGCGAGTTGCTTAACTGCCAATTGGACAGAGGGTATATGGCAATCATAAAATTGTAACGATGGCGGCGGCCGCACAATTAGTGCGGAGAAGGGATATAAGATTTATACACTCGAAGACAGTGTCCAGGCAAGATCGTGGGATTTCAGCGCCATGTGAAGCGAGCGCCCTTGAAAATCTACAGCATGGGTGCAAAGTCATAATTTTAGACAAAAAGCGAGAACTCCGAAAAAAAAGTAGTAAGTGCTGCATACTTGGAAACCCTTACGAGCGCTGTCAAGTGAAAGTTCGTACCCCTAAATGAAGAGCCGGTGTTTCGCTTTATACTATAAATCTGAGATGGGATCAGCTCTACATCGTGATATCTGAATGTCCGCTTAAGCTTTTCAAGAGTTATCAAAGTCGAACGTTGACTTTTCCAAAACCTCCTGCAGATACGACTGCAGTTTTGCAGAATAAGAAGGATTGCAGTTTTGAGACCAGCATCACCCATTGACTTCAGCAATCTATTTTATCTCAAATAGCTTACAGAAAGAGAATTTGTTGGGCACTTCGACTAAAAAGGCATTCCTTACTGGTTATGTTAGATACAACAAGTTTTCCTCGTTCTGAGAACTGTTTTGATTTTACGATGATCCTGTATCTGGCGTAAACGCTCGCTAACTTTGTAATCTCAGTGTTTGGCAATTAGTTTCGGATGCTTCAAATTTTGTGAAGTGTGTTTCATCCAGTTTTTCGAGTTGCAACATTTCTAGGGTTTGATTCCAAAATATTAGTGAGAAAGAGCCATTATCTCCAAAAAAAAAGACTTGCTTCATAACTGCAGTCTTGATTTCGTCTCATGTGTTGAAACAAAAATTTTGATGGCTTGACTAGATAAAAGTGAAAAATATGTATGCATTCGAAACTAAAAGTCACTGGAACGTCGACAACGATTATTGCTTTTGTACATTAATAGACTGTGTTCTAGCTATTTGTTCATTTATTTTGTATCCACTTATGTCAAGCTAGGAATTTGTATTTAGTGCCTACGTCGATTTTGTATAGGTTAAAAGTTCAGCTTAGATTCCGCTTTTTATAATGTTGTGAAAAGCGCCTGCTTTCATCAATTATCCGCCTTTATAAAAGAGCTTACATCGCCATAAGGTCATGCTTCCAGCGCAGGTTGCCTCGGAGTCGATCAAGTTTTCCCCAAGTTCAAGTTCTATCGTACGGCGCGTGAGTAGCCTGTGCCTACTGGTACTAGAAGACTCTTGGGAAATCAATCCATTGGAATACTTCGCCTGTACGCACAGTTACAGTCAGTTTCATCCCGGATTAGGCGAGACATTCTACGTGGAGCAGCGCATGCGCATCGCTGGAGGCTTCGCGAGCGCATAGCGCTGGCCTTTTGCCAAGCAAAGACTAAGGAGATTGAAGAGACGCAGACATGGGTTCTCAGCACGATAGGATTTACTGTAACTGCGAAACGGCGCGAGCTGTTGCGAGGCGGACTCCCGCCAGTCCAATTTCCGCCTAAAGCGGGTCGAAACTTACTGTACGCATGACATCATATCATGTACAAGGCATTCGAAAAATCTTGACGATGGCGCGACCGCGCGCAACACGCACGCACTCCCAATTCTTTTCTATCTCTACTCAAATAGTTTTTCTGTTTACATATGATAGTACTCAGGCACTAAAAGTGACTGACCTTATTGTTAGCGCTGAGGTGTTACCTGTTTGTATGGGTTTTCTTACCCTTCTGTGCGCGGAAAGAGCGCAGTCGACCCGTCGTCACGATTTTAAAAATGAACCGTTCAACTCTGATTGTGTGCGTTTCCTACGGAAAGTAATCAGCTCGAAAAATAGCTACTGCAAAGAGGAAAAGAAGCCAAACTATATTTCGAAAAAATTTACCCGCCATCACTCTAGGCTGATTCAAAATTATGACTTTAGAAGGTGGATAATCGAACAAGCTGGAAAAGATAGCTTGAGAATGGAAGAGATAGCTCGAAAACCGCACAGACGTACTATTGATTGAATAGTACATTCTTAGTATGCTGTGTCATTTCATAAATTCGTGGAGTTTTCTTCTAATTCTCATTCCTTCAAAAAAGCGTTCGCTTGAGCTATAATGCGCATATCATTGAGAAGAGCTGAGCATGCTCTTCCAAGAGAAGTTATTGCATTCGATGAAAAGCTGACCCACTTCGATTTTCCAGCTTTCGAAGATGGAAATTTTGAGAGCCAAAAAGGAGCATTTTCGGCATCTGCGCACTTTTCTTACATAAAAAATTTTGCACAAATTTTTCGCCGATTATGACTATCAAGCATGTAAGAATTGAATTGCTCCTAAAAGCCAAGCTCAGATGAGGTGCCCCTCCAAGGCTCTCGGTAGGAAGAGCAGAAGTTCTGCACTGAAAATCCCTAAACAATTACAAGGCGGTAGCTCATACTTTACGCAACCCAGATGCAGCATTTGAACGAATTTCTACTTCAGAAATTCCCAATAGACATGTCCAGCGGGTTTTTCTGCACGACATAATATGGCTTCGTACGGCAAGCGTAGTCAAAACGTCTGCTAGACTTGACCGGAAGGTACCTACATCGGTATATCTGATGCACTTGGTCTCGTTCTAACAGAATTTCTGTTTCGGCATATAGGAAGTCGTATAAGCGGCGTTTGCTTTGTTCTGAACACGATCTCAAGCGCTGGTTAGAAGACTTTTTTGGGACCAAATTTCCTAAGCTCTTACAAAACTTAAGTGAAAATATGACGGCAAGATGGCAGAAAGTTGTGCGCAACTACAAAACATGCATTATTGGCTGAATTTTGACATAATTCTATCATTCCGTTGGTTTACGAAAACTCTACGAATTTATGAAACGACCTAATAAATCGTGCACAGCTGAAGTGTGTGCAGCAAGCAAGGGGTTCTTCGTCTACTAGTGAATTTTTTTGTTTGTATGCTCTTTGAGTCAATTAATGCCTGGCAGATGTAGCAAGCGGCTCGTAATCGTGAAGGACCCTCCAATGATTCAAAAGAGAATACACCAGCTGTTCGAACTAATCTACCGTACTGTGCGGACAGGCGCAGATTTGAGATAGCTTAGTTTTTCTGAAGGTGTATATCCTTATGAAAATAAGGTGATATTAGAAATGAAGTATGCGCACCATCACCATTACAAATATATCTATTCGGGCGTATTTGAAATGTAATGTGCGAATAATACAAACGCGAATCGAGGAGATTCTTCGTCTTTTTTTTCTGTTCATACTTCTCAAACCTTTGAGTTGTAGACCACGACAGTTTCATCTTTAGTTCGATTGCTTAATACAGCATGTCCCAAAAAAGGGCCTAATGTTTGATTCTCATATCTTCCGTCATGCAGTCTTTGGAGAAGCTTTAGGTACCATTTTGTAGAGCTGAATTCAACTTACAATTAGATTTACTGTATGGAGCAAATCACTGATCGCTCTTTAATACTGTAGGATAACGATAGGAATTTCGAAGAGAGTTTACGATCATTGAGGGCCTTATTTCTCCTCAGAAAACGTACCAAACAACCGGGAAACTCTTACACCAGGCTAATCGGAACCGCTGACGCCGAATATAAACTTTGCGCTTTTCCGCAGTACTTTCTTCACAAGTTATGACAAGTAAAACGCAGTAGCTGTTTTTGAAATGCTCCCCAAATTTATTATTATACATTTTGAAAGCTTTGAAAAATCGTAAAAAGTTGAGTAATGAAATCAAGCAAAAATACATTGGACGCAGCTCCTCAGATTTTTAGAATTTTCTTCAACATGGGTAATCCACAGTGACGCTATAGGCTGAGAGTCCTACCGTAATCCTACAGTAATAAAGACCGATCGGGGTCTGCCCATGCGGTAAAAAACCTAAGCTGGTCAGCTCTACAGAATGGTATTTAAAGCTTTTCGAAAGGCTTGATGATAAAGAAATATTAACAATCGAACATTAACAATCAAGTGGGCACATTTTTTGGAAACATCTGTATGATAAATGACACTGAAAATCATTAAGGAGGATAATTCTTTGAAGGCATAAAATTTTTTTTTACAAAACCAGGTCAAAATTTTCTACAGTCACGCAAAGTGGAAGTAAACCAATCATATATCTTCATTATGATTGTCTTCGAGAGCACAGAGAAAGAGCTGCATATCTACGAGTAAACGTATTCGCACAGTTGAAAGTACATATTAGGTCGATTTGAAACATCTGTCAGTTTTTGTAATGACCCTCAAATCCCGTACAGAAGGTGAACAAACATTCCAAGTTGCATCCGATGCAGAATTTCTTCCTCTATTCAGTTGCTATATCTTCATTTGACTCCTTGAAAGATTGCTGAGAGAATTGCTGGAAATTACAACCCGTCGTATTCACCGTGTCCAAATTTCACTAATTTTCAAAAATTTTGTATGAGACTTTTGAGGAAGCTTCAATAACTAACAAGTGGGGAAAACCTTTCGCCAACTGTAGCAATTTTTTGTAGCTCTGTGGCTTGTCTTTTAGAGTTTTTAAAAGATACCTTTTGAATAACCAAATTTTACATTCCGCCTATAACCTCGTAGAACAAGAAATGGTAAACAGTAGTTTAGGTACCTTACGATGCAACTTTTTCTCGTCTTTCTAAGAGCTATCTTTTCTTGGCGAGATGCGCGAAATTTGCTGGGCGCACTAACGCACTAATTTTTTAAAATCTTCATCTTTTGAATCGAAAATCACGCTAATACTTTGCAAGCAAACTGTTGAAAACTCATTAATCTGAAGATTTTGCAGTGTTTTGTGCGACAAGAGGTTTTGCGAACCTCAAGAATTTTTGAAATTATTTTTCAAAATTCTTGAAAAGTTGCCGAAAAAAGTAGAAAATTCCACCGTTTGGCAAAAGTTTTTTCCTGCCTGTTACTTATTAAAGCTTCCTCAAAAGTGAGATACAAAAATTTTGAGAGTTAGCGAAATTGGATATAGTGAGAACGAAGAGTTGTAATCTCCAGCGATTGTCTCAGCCCTCTCTCAACGAATCACACCGTAGATATAGCAGATCAAAAGAGGAAAAGAATTCTGCATCGGATACAACTTGAAATATTTGCTTGTGACTACTCTACGGGATTTGAGGATCATTTCAAAAAACTTTCGGACCGACCTAATCTTATATTTCCAACTATCTCACCAGCCGTTTCGGCCACCCGAAAAGTATAGAGAGTTATAAATCACACAAAAAAAACTTGTTTACTTTGGCAAATTCGACAACTTTATGAGTTTTGTTAAAAGATTGGAATGGCTCTGTGAAATTTCTTGAAGGGGCCTGATTCTAGGCCTCCTAAAACACAATTTTAGCTTACAAGAAGCTTTCTAAAAATGTTACTTTTTCCTCCTCTTCTGACAATTTTCACGATCTCCATTGTGCTGAGGGTCGGAGTAGAATTCATTATAGCTGATCTTTCGTAGATTACCAACCAGTTTTTTGAAGCAGAACCTGTAGTTATGTCTTTATGCTTGCATGGAGACAGGAAACAACTTATTTCTTCTATTTCCACCATGTACTTTTCACATCTTGCTGAAGCGTTTTTAAATCGAGTTATTCATATTCAAGGGCATATATAATACCCGATCGGGTCAGGTTAAAGGCAGTGTCCAGGCAAATCTGGACATATGGGGTTCGGATGTGGGAAGTAATTTTGGGGCCCTAACTAATTCATGGAATACGATCCCGAGGCCCAGTTTGGAGGCGGATACTCAACTGTGAGCTCACCATTTGAGCTGCCGCTTGGGCAGTGTTTTAGGGCTCCCTCCTGGTAGGATCCCGATAGGCCCAGATTTGCCTGGACGCTGCCTTTAAATGACACTGTTTTTTCAGCCACAGTAGCCAAGGGTATCGTCGATTTGTTGACCGCACGGACCGCTCAAACCAGGGTCGAGCAAGAGGTGTGGCACATGATTGCTGGTTACGATCCCCCCCTCTAATTGCTGTCTCAATAAGACCCCCCCCCCCCCCCCTCCTAAACTATATATAGGTGCCGTAAAACCTAATTGCCCGTGCCGTGCCTTGAACACCAGCGTAAGCGAGCGGTCGTCGCGAACGACTGTCGGCGTTCACTATATTACAGGAAATCTTTCTTTAACTTTCATGTTGTTCTCGTCAATGCAAGGTATATTTTGACGAAAGCTCCCTTCAAAAGTTAAAAAAAATATGTGTAGAAAGGGTGCGCGCTCATTGTCGCTCGCAAAAAGCCTGTGGCGCTTCGGGACCAAACGTTTCCAGCCGCGCCGCGCGTTGGTGTTCAAAGTGACGCGTGGGCAATTGGGTTTTACGGGGCCTGTACATAAGATATCATCGCTTGAAGGCCCAGTCAAACATAACGGGCAACATATCCATAATTAGCATGTCAGTCAACCTCTGTAGACAAAGTTTGAGCGATTTCTGAAGATTCAAGATACTGGGCCACCTAAGTGAAATAGTCATTTTTCAACATTTAACTTTGTTTCAAAGATGAATTAGCTACTCGTTTTTGCACTCAAAACAAAGCGCTACTCCTTCTTTGTCCATCTCCGAAATCCCGCTTCAAAATTCCTCCAAACGTGGAATTAAAAACCAACCAAATTCTCGGTTTTCCCATTTTTCGCTTTTGATGGTTGTGATTTTTCCAAATATTACTCGCGGCTAAGAAGACGAATCAGGCTCAAATCGCTTCTGTGGGATCTACGAGATTCAGGCTATCGACTCGTATAAATATTGTTAGCTAAAAATGTTTTTTTTAATAGTTAATGGGGTATGGCACACCCCCTCAAAAGCTGTGGCTGCCACAGCTTTTCAAGGGGGGTGCCACACCCCTTTAACTTACCTTCAAAGCATACAAATAGCTGTGTTTTTTGGATCGTTGCTATGCTCAGCCTTCTTCTTTATACAGCAGGAAATTCACTTGAATTCGTTTCTTCTAGGAAAAGGTATAATCGTTTTTCCTTACCTATGCAAATGGAAAATAATGCAAAAATATTGGGTTACGGTAACCCCACTACTACGCGAATCGCGAGGAAAGGCGAAAAGAATGTATTTGTTGGAGGATCCAGGCCTCGTACTTTACACTAGAGTGATTTGAGCCTGATTGGTCTTTTCTGGTCCAAAATATTGGAAGCGAAGTATGAAACAAACAAGATAATGCCTTGCTCTTAATTCAATAGTTTGAAGTTTGTTTGAAGTAGGATTTCTAATGTGAGCAAAAAATAGTAGTTCTTTGTATTCAGTGCAAAAAGAAGTATTTAACTTACCTTCGAAACAAAATTAACGTGTTTAAAAATGACCATCTCACAAGGGTGGACCCATATTCGGAAATCTTAAAATTCGCTGAAACTTGGCCCACAGGGCTTATTCGACATGCTGATTACAAAAGCGATGCTCCTATGCTTTTATAGATCTTGTACTATGCTTACTGTAGGTGATGGTAGGCCAAAATATCAGTGTGCTAGTATTTTGCATGATGGGTCTATCCGACATTGTTAACAAATATTGTGTTATCGCTAACATCAAAATCACCTTAAAACGACCCTCCCCCCTCTCTGACCCCTCAGTACGACCCCCCCCCCCCAGGTGCGGCGGCCACACCCCAAGCTTGACCTTGGCTCAAACCCTGCTGACTACGCGAGAAGCGGCTGAATTGTCGCGAAAGCACGACTTGTACAATGGCGAATTTGTACTGGGGCAAGCGTTTTACCTCGCGGCGCGTGCTCCGCAGTGATGTCCAGTCTCTACGGTCAACTAATCAACTATAGATTCTATTTGTACATAGATCACAAAAAGATTTCAGGAAATGGAGGAACTTCACCAACGGTCCATGCCCGCGAGAGGGGGCGGTCCTGACAACCCCGCCCATGCGAGGACAAGTCTGACGACCGCGCCTACTCGTAGGTTGAAGACAGGGTTAGATGTCATCCTTGTAGAACCAGCTTCTGATTGTCTTATAAAGTTTTCATGAGCTGAACTAGGTAAATCAAGTAGTCTTAAAAAATGAGAAAAAAACAGAAAATTAAGAGCTTTTTCGCGGGACCTTCCCACAAGTTTCCTCTGAATGATCTTGCTCATATAAACGTTCCATTAATGCCTCCAAAAGTGAGCGCATTGTCCACTAATTGCTTCTCACGATCAGCTGCTAACATTGATCGTAGCGACCGTGTAGTGTCCGCAGAGCAGGCAGGCGTCACGCAAACGCCGTCCAAGTGATGACATAGGGTTGTGCGCATTGCTTTCTCACTGAATCGTCACTCGTTTGTCGTGTTTACAGCTTTTTCAGGTCATTTAACTCTTTGCTCGAGTTGCTAGTTCTAGTGTGTGGTCGCTTTTTTCTCCTTCTGCTTTTTTCTTCTTTCGTGCTGCTCTTTCCCAGTCATTTTTATTTGCAGTTATTTCACTTTAGATATCACCGCAGAGGTTTCGACACTACTGAAATCACACACTTTATCTATGGAATTGTTACCAGATCAAGCAGAAAAGCTTAGGCAGTTTCAGGTACTTGTTGTTGAAATTTTTGATATTTTTTTCAACACATGTATTTGCAGGAAGTAACAAATGTGGCAGAACGAGATCTAGCTGCCGCCAGACTTGAATCCGTAGGATGGAATTTGGAACAAGCGATTGAATCTTATCTTTGCGGTGATGGGATTGTAGGAGACGATGTTGAGGTGCTGCCCCCACCTGCCAAGAATCATCGTCGCGAAGTGTCGTAAGTTCTTGCATTTTTGCTTATCAGGGAATGGTCAGAATTCAGTCCGGTCACACCAAACATGCTGTATATCATCGGACTCGTCTAGAGACGCTAATTACAAATATGTTTTTTTTATCTGCAAAGCGATTATCTAGGAGGAGTTATGAGCCTTTAAATGTGCGATTTGTCAAGTGTTCTGTGGCGCATGCTCTACGAAATAGGTTCCAAAAACACTTCTTCAGGTTTTCGGTGAATGTACTTCTTCCTTGTAATCAAAATAACCATGGCCACTCTAAATCCGCGCCATCAGGCTGCCTTTCAACGAAATATATTCGTTGAAACTGAAGATATTTCTCATACGAAAGCTCATAACTTTTTCCAGTTAGTCGCTTGGTGGATAAAAAACATATATTTGAAATCAGCGTTATAAGACGAGTCCGACGATATACAGCATGTTTGGGCTGGGTTAAGTTCTGACCGTTTCTTGCTTCGTTTTTGCTTCATATCCACTCGAGGTGGCATTATGAGCTTATAACCTCGTATATCGCTCTAATTTTGCTTTTTTCTAGATATGTGGGTCTCTATAAGGTCATCCTGTTCTCTTCTTGTATATCTTTCCGATCCTTCTGGCCAGATCGTTTGACTTACCTGTCTTGGCTAATCTTTATTCACTTTTTTGAAATTTTTGTCGTTGAAAGTGTTACTCATTGGGCCATGCTTGCTCTTACAGGCACTGTCTGGGTAAGATAAGAACTCGATTTTGAGTTTTTTGCTTAACCCGGGCCTATTAGTTATGGAGAATCTGAAAATTCACATTGGAGAGCGCGAAAATGGCGGAAAAGTTCTTTAGAAAGGAGCAGGAGGAAAATCCTCAGGTGGGCGGGGTCTTCCACTCTGTGAAGTCACTCTCAGCTTTCGGAGCGATCCTCTCGGTTTCGCTTTAAGTAACACGCTCGCGCTTGACCGGTGGTGATGTTAGATGGCTAGCGGAAGCGAGAAGATTGCTCCGGAAGCTGGGAGGGTGAACTCACAGGGTAGAAGACTCTGCCCACTTGCTAGTACCCCTCCTGTGTTGAAACTTTTTTTCGCAGTTTTCGCGCTATCCAGTATGACTTTCGCATTCAGCATAATAGGCAGAAATAAGCAACAAACCTTAAAATCGGATTTTTGCCCGGACACTGCCTTATGCCTGTTTCCATCTCTTTGGAGGCGTTTGTCTTAGCTTTATATGCCATCCTGAATGACATGGCCGTGCATGATTGGGCAAGGAAAGGTAAAGTGAATTGTATTGTTAAGCCAGATGGTTACATTTATAGTAGCTTAGAAACGGAAGGAGTAACTTGACTACGTCACAAGGCAGCTAGAAAATCGATATATTGATCGGGAACTGCTGACATTGTGTTACAGTAGCTCACGTCCGCACGCAAGCGCTAAGGCACACGCCATGCTTGACCCACTTCAATCACTTCGCTGTTGGACAGATCAGTGATCTGTCTAGTAGCAAAGCAAGTGGGTATCCCTTCGTTATTGGCCAACTGGTTTGACCAATAACAGAGTGGATGACGTGGACCGCTGTGTGCCTAACAACCGTCATCGCCTCGCTCACATTGGCGACCGCTCCAAGGCGAACTAGCCTTCAGCATTTCCTCATGAATTTATGGTCCAACGCAGATTGCTTCGTAAAAGCGAGGCAGCTTGCATGCCATTTCTGCAGTCATTTGTAAGGGTCAACCACTTTATCAAAAAGCATTCCCGTCCTATGCGAGAACGATGATAGTGTTTGGGCTAAATGCACATTCTAGTGCTTGTTGTTGTTTAACGCAGTAAATATGAGGAAGCGAGTTTTCGCTCCACATACTGGTTCATGTTCTATACGGCTCAGCGGTTAATCTTTGCTTGTGACCAGCGCGTCCTTATGCATTCTCTTTTTTGAGTGCGGGTGGAGAAATTCACGCGTATTGCCGGACCGCTTTTGAGGGCTGCTCGTCCTCAAACGCAGTGCCGTAAAATGGTATTAAACAGCAGCTGACGGAAAAACTCCTAGCACAAGAAAGGACAATGGGCATTTTTTCGATGTTGCGATCGCGTGCAAAAGGTGTCGATGACGGACTATCGAATCAAAACAAACTTTCTGGCCATTCTTCGGTATGATCTCGCTTCTGCATCTATATCTTGTTTTGCAGTTGGATGATGACTTTAGTTTGTTGAGTTCCCAACTTTTTAGAGTAAGATAGTAACCTCCGAACTTTGATCTTGTCTCCACGCGCTCCCTTCAAGGTAATCAACATGATTTTGTGAAGTTTCTGGAAATGGGAATATCTCCAAGTAATTCCTTGCTTTTGCCGAAGATATTAACCCAGTTGTGGACGTAAGCAGGGGCCTTGTACAGTAAAAGCTCGGTATACATGCTGATGAACAGTAGCGTTGCAAGCCTTTCTATCAAGGTCGTTCTGATTCGAAGAAGTGATGTTTTGCTAATATGACTACTGAACCAGTAATCTTCACGTTCTCGCAACTCTACGTGCACTGGTCGTTAGCCGAATCTAGCATGAGGAGGGTGTTCAACCAGTGCGCGGTCAGATGTCTTGATGTCAATCATGAATGAGAAAGTTTCTTCCCTCATTAGTCTGAGACATTGGGGAGAGTTCATGCGATTTAATCGTCGCGATTCAGTCGCTACAAGGCAAGTGTTACGAGTTCATTGCATGCCGATCTTCTTGCATTTCGGTTGTGATAGTTCTCCAACACGACCAATCGTGACCAACTATCACAACCGAAATGCAAGAAGATCGGCATGCGAACTCGTAACACTTGTCTTGTGGAGATTGAATCGCGACAATCAATCGCATGAATTCTGCCCGAGGCCTGAGAGCCTCTCATCCAAAAATTTTCAGGGATGATCGGAATAAGAATGGATTTCTGGGCGTACAGTTTGTGATGTGTAACTTACGGGTATGTAACTAATGAAAGAAGGCGTTGTTAAGCACACGCCATACGTCCACTCGATCCGGTTAATCCACTTAGCTATGAGTCACATCAGTGTACTGACTAATAGCACAGTGAATGAATTGGACTAAGTGGACATCCGCTTTGCTGTTGGTCAGTTCATTGATCTAACCAATAGTGAAATGGATCAAGTGATTTGATTATGGCGTGGGCTTAGCTTGGAAGCAGATTTCTTATAGAAACAGAAGTATCCTGTTCGGATCAAAACCTTCATCAGCATAATTACTATTCTAGTGCTTGATAGCTTAGCCACTAAAATCATACAATTTTGTCTCGATTTATTTAAGGATTGTGCGGTTTCTTCTGGAAGAAGCAAAACTTAGGCAGTCCCTAAAGTTCAACTTCTGTTTTTTTTCCAAACCACTCGTCGATAATTTTTCAATCAATTTAACACACGACTTCGTGTTCTGTTATCGTAAGTTCGGGAAATGTGCCTATTTTAACGTTTATCTGTAAGGCATTGACACTTATGATTCCTGCGTCATTGATTGTCTTTGTACGTGAAGTGCGAAATGGTCTCCGCAACAGGTTCAATTTCTTTCTTCGAGTACTTGAAAGTTCATACAATCACAGTGTGGCAGTCGGAGAATCTTTATGGAGGCAAGGGAAGAGATTAGCAAGTCTCTTTTGAGAAACTCTTCAATCTCTCTGGGCAGAATTTGTCTTGTATAATCACAGGTACAAGTTATTTCGCAGTTATATTTAGACTGCTTGTGAGTTCCAAAAGAGGAGTAGGCGCATGGGTTCATGTCTTGTAAATCACACTACGCAAAGCTGAATCTGGTCCAAGGACTATCATCATGTGTCTCACTCAGTTATTTTAGACCCTTCTTGTTAGTTGCTCATATGTAAGTAGTCAGCTCGCAGTATCTGTGTGGAATGTCAAGTTATTCTAGGCCTTATCTGTCCCATCTTTTATGGCCAAATCTATTGTGAAGTTTGAGAATTGGTTTCAGAGGAGCTCATGAAGTCAGCCCTGATGCGGACGATTTAGAGGTACTTGAGCTATTAAATAATCGCAAATCTCGCCGTCAAGGGCGACTAACACCACGCGGTCTTGAAGCAGGTATTTCTCACATTTCTTCTAAATTTTTGTTTCACGGTTGTTTATGGCAGACTGTAATAGCAATGAACTTATTAATTTTTAGAAAATAGAAAAAAATTTTTTTTTCAAATCATCTTAAGCTTTTCTCATATAATTTGTTTTGGTTCATAATTTTTATTTCAGATGATCATTCTGCTGTTGATATGGATGTGTCTCGTCCATCTTCTTCAGCCGTTCCATCGCATCGTACTCGGAATGGACATTTACAACCAGAGGATCTTACGATGTCTGATGACGATGAATCATATCCCATACATGATCAAGACGATATTGAATGCTCAGATAGAAATATGGTTTGCGTGCTTACCTTTCTTCATCACTTTCAACTTTTGCCATTCTTTCATTTTCAGCTTCGTAACAATCTTCCGCTAATTCCTACAGAATGCGGAAGTGTCACGGAAGCTCTTCATAATTTCGTCGTTGTTTTTGAATCTAGGTGGGTCTTATGAATATTATCGTTCGCTTTAATCATTTTGTTGAATTCGGTATTTTTTTCGTAAAGGTAGAGGAAACAAGTCGGCAGAAGAGAAATTTTTGCATTTTGTATATTCACCAAGTTTTCCTCAAAACAACGAATATACACAATCAAAAGTCTTTTGGCAACCATGATTTTCTCATTTTTTATCGAACTTTTCAAAGCAAAAATATTCATAGTCATAGACTTTGCGAAAATAATCATCTTATCAATAATCTTATCTTTAGTTCATCAGATCCTTGCCGAATTCGGCACTGGCTTGAATCGATGACGTGTCACCTATACACGCTTTCTTTATAGGCCGTTTATCGGGCTTCCATGCAATTCTAAGCTTATAGTTCTATCCAGCAAGCATCTACAAGAACTTGAATCATTCGCTGGGTCCATTAGGTCCGGGATCCAAGCAAATTACCAGTCGTTTTGTCTCATCACTGTTTAACATTGTGATACGACGAGACTTTCCTATTACTTTTTAAATGTCTCATTCAGATTTTCTGGTATTGGATGTCACATACCTTCTTTCTTCACTGGTTCCTTACCTGAAGCTATTAAAGAGGCTTTTGAAGCACCCGGGTACATTTCATTTTGAGCTCTTTTCCATTATACCTTCATTATCTTTTGCAGGGGTATATCTGAACGTCGTCCACTCGCTCTCTACATTCACCATGATGGTAGCATTGCGGCAAACATCTTTCCTTCAAAAGTTAGCTCCAATTTTGCTTTGACTTGAAGCTTTACCATGATCCTTTGTTAAGGTTCTGTGCAGTGATGCTGTTTCGAACTTGTTGAGATGTCAATATATTCTATGGCCGTGGGATGTTACTCACAAGTAAGCTTATAAAACTCTAAAGGTCTTCTAAATGCTTGCTGTGTAGAGAAAATGAAGTGAAACTTCGTGAATGGCTGGAAATGGTCGGTATGGGAGATGCTCGGCGTACTCTTGAAACTATGGCATATGATAAGGAAAAATTTCCACTCCTTGTTATTATAGCGAAGGATCGTGGCTCATACAATATCATCGACATATGTGCAGGTAGGATATGTATTTTTCATGTCAAATTCATTTTATTATCATTTTTTTTGGAGTGTAGATTAGTCGTGTACTATCTTATAGTAACAGGTTGGTACAAGAGGAATCATTTGTTGTCTCATTTCCATTTTAATCTTGGGAAAATTGATTGTATACCTTGTGGTCGTCAAATTAGACCGAATTTGACGCTCTAGCACTAATACTCGAGGTCTGGAGAACGCTCATTATTTTTGTAAACTTACTCCGAATCAGGGTTGTGAATCATAATGTTCTTCACTAAATGCTGCCATTTTTTTGGAGATCACTCTGTGGCTTGCATGATGCGCTCGCTCTTTTTGAAATTCGTGGCTCGAATACTTGACCTGCATTGGGACGCATTAGCGTATACATGGTGGTTCGCACAGCAGTCGTGATGACATTCTTGGGCTTAATCCTGTGTTTGGATATATATCTCGACCAATTTGCATTATGATGCACGTACAATCTCTGCTAATGGCTCATCGCTTATCTTCCACTTAGGTATGGACAGTGCTGATGTTGTAATGGAAAAGTTGATGGCCGGTGTGGATGCATATACAACGATACGCAATACCGAGAAACAAGAGGAAGCAGCTCGTATCGAAAGGGAACGTATTCGGCAAGAACAAGCTCTGGAGTAAGTCCACGATGATCTTAGCTATAATCATTTTCTTTTTTGCATGAAGGATTCTCTTGGAAGCTCGCACGTGTTCATAAAATTTACTCCTATGCTTGATAACTGATGTTCAGATATGAAATGTCACTAGCAGCTGACAAAGCCCGAATGCAAGCTAAGGAACGCGAATTACGAGAACAGCGCGAAGAGGAGGAAAGGAAAATACGGGAGGCGGAAGATGCTGAAATCAAGTGTGATGAATCAAAGCCTCTGTTTATTATTGCACTAATGATTACATGATTACAGAAGGCAGTTGCTAGCTAGCCAATTACCGGACGAGCCGGCTGAGGATGAGCGGGGTGCGATCATGGTGAAATTCCGTCTGCCCGACAGCGAACAGGTTTCGATGATTTTTCCTACTTTCCATCATTCAGTGATGAGGGTGTTTACCTTCATTAAGTTTCGTGAAGTAATTTTTGCCATAGACAAGTCTTGTATCTGAAGCTGTTTTTCTGTGAAATGAGTGATGGAGATTTTGTAAAGCAAGTTTTGCGTTTTTAAGCGAATTTATTTCGAAATTGCGCATATATAAGCTTTGTGAACAGTGTTTGGAGTCATTTAAAGGCAGCGTCCAGGCAGATCTGGACCTATGGGGCTTTTACGTGGAAAGCACTTTTGGGGCCCTAACTAAGGCACTGTCCAAGCCGCAGCTCAGGTAGTGCTCTAATGGCTGAGATATTCCCCTCGAAGCTGGCCCCCGCGAACGTATTCGCATGGATTCATGGCAGTTTTGCGCCAGGATCCACGCTTTGCGCCATGAATCCATGCGAAACACGGTCGCGGGGTCCAGTTTCGAAGGGAATATCTCAGCCATTACAGCACTACCTGAGTTGCCGCTTGGGCAGCGCCTTAGTTAGGGCCCCAAAAGTACTTTCCACGTAAAAGCCCCATAGGTTCAGTTCTGCCCCGACGCTGCCTTTTAGACTTGTAGTTTCAATCGATAATGGGCAATGAAACGAGGAACAAAATAAGCTTTCCAATCTTCTCCTATGTGGAACTACTATGCATATTTTTCTGATTGTTTATAGTCCAGGTTGTGCGCCGTTTCCGATCGTCGGAGAAGCTTTCTGTTTTGATAAAGTTCCTTGGAGCCAAAGGCTACTCAGCAAGTGACTACCGATTCTTCAACTCCGATTTTCCCAAAAAGGATGTAAGTTCAACCTATCATATAGTCATTTTGCATTCTCGAAATATATGCTGCAGGTAACAACATTCGACGAGTCGAAAACGTTCAAGGAATTGCACTGGCCAGTGCGAGAGCAAATATTTGTAGAAGAACGCTGATCTTTTCCCTTTATTAGAAGTTATCACATTGTTTTTCTTCTTTTTTCAACGTGACATCAATCTTAATTTCTTTCTTCAACTCTAACGCATGCTATGCATTCGTTTGGTCTTGTACCCAATAGCACTCGTGCGTCCACTACCGTTGCGTGGGTCTAGAATATGGGTATGCGGCGGTTGCCGCCAGCTATACTGAACGACTGACTGAGTTTGTTCCTACCTTATTGTCCTTCTAGGGACTAGTGCCCATAATATATCGCATTAGCGCTGAATAAACACGTGGGACTTGCGCTTTCCATTATCCCTTGCCTCATGGCTTAACATTGGCGAAGTAATTGTACGGTGTTCTGTTCCGGTTTGAGATCGTCGCACTCCGTCAACTTTGTTATTTCCTCATTTCCCTCCCCATACAATTATCTTTGATTGTCTTATAACAGTTGCCATGCAACTATGACCTAATTGCTGCTGAGTCTGAATCTGTATAGTAATTCAATTTTAATGATTAAAATTTGCCATTGTCATTGTTGGTTTGTGAGGAGTCAGTGGTCTTGTTGAATTTTAGCCTCTTTTAGTGTGGGTGGGTAACGTCAATAACCTGCTTCCGCGCATTGTGTAGCCGTGGTAACCGAGGGTATCCATGACGGAAATGCTCTTGTTGGTCGCTTTAGCACAAGTTCGAGTTTCTTGCACTTTCACTTTCTTTTTAGCATATTGCTGTTTGCTAGGGAACTTGGGAATAATTTCATTGCATGGCATATATCTGTGAAGAGGGAGAACTTCAATTTCTGCCGTTTTGTATCTCAAGCGGAGAGCTGTGCTAATTCGGATACTCTTTGAATATTAGAATGTTCTCGCTTTTGTAATTCAGTCTTTCATACTTTTTCATTTTCCGGTAATCTTTTATTGTTAGGACACAAAATGTCTTCTCCATTGTCTATAAGTTTTTTGAAAAATGAGAAAATAAGAAACATTTGTGCAAAATATTATTATGAGATGCACACAAATTAAGGAATGCGCTCTTCATAATGTTGATGAGCATAAGCAGGAAACAGTGGTAACTAGAGACAGGGCCCGGCACAGATTGTCTGAAAGCAGGTTGGACTTCGTTTTGGGACGAAAAAGCATTTTTGAGTGGAGAGTAGAGATGTTCTAATGTGCAAATCGGAAGCGAATTATATGCTGGTCATCATTGTCTTCGATTTTAACTCCTGTTGGTTTGCAGATGGAGAAGTTTTGGTTGCAGCAATGAAAAACATTGAACAACATCGCAAAATCAGCGAAAAGAAAGAAATTCGGTGAGATCACTGTAGCCATGCTCCACAATGAGAAATTTTGCTGAGCCATGATGCTGCTTGGTAGGGGCGCGAATTCAGCACATAATATTTTGGATGAATCAAATGAGAGTATAATTAACGCGTTTTCTAATTTCAACGAATTTCGTACGCTGCACCTGTAGTTATTCTACGTTCTGCAGCATTATGAGGATTTTAAACTCTTCTCGCCTGACTCGATTAATTCACAAAACAGCAAATGCGGATAGAAAAATTTCCCTTCAAATTGATTGTTAGGAGGGCACAAATCTAGTCAGCCGTAAAAATCTCGGATAAAGCTGTATTTTACGTTTTGCTCAAGAAAATTTTGGTAAGATTTCATTTATCTATTTGTTATCAGGCCAACAAACTTTCGCGGTGGTAGTAATCTGATGTTTTGTCGATTTTTGATGACGAACTGCTTTGCTATACATCAGAGCTTCTGCAAGACTGTCTCTTCCGCAAAAACGCACCACATCTTCATATGTGCATTTCTTGAAACTAATGTGAGGCTCGCATGTTGCCCTAATGTAGTTTGCTGGAAAAACCACTTGTACTTGGCGGCTCAGTCGAAAAGAAACGTAAATGTTCCAGAACCTGAGAGTAAGTGAGATTTTATATGACTACGGATGAATTCTATTTCTAGAAAATATGTGTTCAAGTCACTTAGAATCTACTGTTTTTTGTTATTAGTTTTATGGCGCCTATGCATTTCTTCGAGCCCGTTCCTACGCCAAATTACTCATTTTTTTCCTTTTCCATTTTTGCCTCGAAATTTTATGTTCTATTCGTTATAGATGTTATTATATATGGGCACCCTAAGATCAAGAAACTCATCTTAATGTGTTCAAAAGAACCTTCTTGTATCAGATTGTCCGGAAATTAATACGGGTTCCTTACGGGATCACGACAGTTCAAATACGAGAAAGTGAGAAACATATCATCCCAAAAAGCGAAGCCCTACAAGACTGCATTAGAACGATCGCAAAAGTCTGGTCCACATGAGGTTTCAAAGCGAAATCCAAAATCAGACTTCCGTCCGAAGAGATCCTGCGGACTTCCATCTCTGTCAGGCATGTACTGTTCACATCAAACAATCGTATGTACAGTTGTTGTACTTTTTCAAGGCCAAATGTTGTGAAAACAAAAGTTGGCATGCCGTAGCAAATGCAATGTTGAGTTACTCTGACATATTTTCAGCTCCAATTGCTAGTTAACGAGATTAATTTCAGCTCAAAAAACCCGAAAAAAACGATACGTTCGTATTTTTGGCTCATTTGGATTTTCATATTTTCAGCCATTGTAAAAATGCGGCAAGTTTGCATATAAATGTCTGATGTAAGAAGCATATGCGTGACGCTGAACGTCCGTAGGATTATTTTTGGACCCAGATCTAATTTTTGAGTAATTGAACTTCCAATTTTGCTTTCAACTTCAATGCGCATCTAACCTTTTACGGTCTTTCAGAAGCAGTTTTGTTGATATTGCTTTTCTCTATCGAATGGTATGTTTTTCACTTTTTTTATATACACTGCTGCCATAACGTAAGCAAAGCGCATTAATTTGTGCAACCTAATACTATACTAGTCTTATATATAAAGCTGAATGTGTGTCTGTATGTATGTATTTATGTATGTCTGTACGTATGTGCGGAATAGAAATTTTTGTTTCTGAACCGATTTGGACCAAACTTGGCACACATATACTTCGGGGCAGGGAGCGTGTCATAGGCTACTTTTCTTTCTCGATCGATATCGATTTTATCGATTTTTTGCAAAATTTGAGCTACAGGGCTGGGAGTTGGCACAGGGGGTAATCGAGCATGCTGATTACAAATATATTATTGACAGGCCCGGGCGGAGCCGGGTTTGCCAACTAGTACCTTATATAACGGATGACATGCTGAACACTTCATTCCAGTATGGAAACTTGTTTCAAACAAAATCCAAGGCGAACCGGAAGTACTCAGCAATTCATACGAATTTGTGAAAGAGAAATAAGCATGTACATATCTTCGTTGTGGAGCCAGTATCTCCAAGCGAAATTCATGAATAAAATCAGTTATCGAATTATTACCAAATTTTCACCGCTTCAGCGATAGAGAAATATAATCCATCTGTTTCTCTTCATCAACTTGTGTCGCCATTATATGCCAGCACTGATTTCTAATTCGAATTTGGAGGCCATCGAAGTGTCATAAGTCACTGTTTTCAAATCAACTTGGTGTTTTGAAGGGAAGAAATAACAATTTTCAGAAAGTCTTGGTACAAACCAACTCAATATCATACTATGGCAAACCCAAAAAATTGCAGTCACGTCTTCTAATTTCACAAATTGCATGCATAACTTCGAATCTGTATCTTTGTAAGTTTGCGAAAAGGGATGAAACAGTATGTAGAGTTTTACAGGTTTGATTACTGGCACTCAGTAATGAACAACGTGGTCATTACTGGAGTCGACGTGTATCGATGGTACGTTCTTCCTGCAATGGGAGAACTTATTGGAACGGCACTTTTCGTATTTTTTGGTTTGTTGCTTTTTTTATAATTTCCTTCTTTCGTGTGGCTTAAAATAAAATTCTGTACTTTAATAAATAACATGCCTATGTAGAAATCGCTAAAATTTTGATGAACGATGCAAGACAAGGTTGTATTTTACGACTGATATACTGTTTTTGCCGTTGCCTACAACATTATGGCGTAAAATGCGATTATGTGGTGGAAAACTTTGAAATACGTACTGGTGCAAAATATGAAAATTCATGCATGTGACCAGTTACCAAGCACAAAAGTTGTCGACACCATGGCACTACGTTAACAACTGTCAGATATGATGAATTATAGTTATTTGGAGGACTCTTGCACATATTATACCATTGGCGTCCCGTTTTTCAGTGACAAGAACACTGACAATGAATAGTTCGAGTTTTTGAGGGATGCCCATTCTATTTTGGTTTTCTCTCTCGGCCTAATTTTCCTTGAAGATTTAAGCACAGGTTATTATTGTTTGAATAGCATTAGAAAGTCTGCATACATTTTATAAGACTAGAAATTGTGACTAACTTTGGAGATTTGTTGGAATCTTCTATATGGGAACGCTCTCCCCTAAAATCAGAAACGTCTGGAAATGGTCTCTTTGGAGGGCAAGATAACGCCAAAATTGCCTTTGCCTAAGTAACTAATTGCAGACGTTCTCTCCCTATTTCGCTCCATACGCATCTAAACTATTTTTTCTTTTTCTAACTTTTTTTGAACTTAAAACAATGGTCCTTTCAAGTCAGTCGCGTTGCTTTTTTTACAACTCGAAAGCATCTTTCACTATCCCACTGCAGAAATTTAATTATGTTTCGCGATTCTCTCTCACAGTTAATGAGCATAATAGGATAAAGTAAAGGAATTTCTATTTGCGGAGTAAAAAAGCAAATGCTAAGGGGTAGCTTAGTTCTAATTCATAAGTTTCGACACTAAAAACGATCTATAACAAAGGATTCGTAACTACTGAGAATGATGCATTTTAGTGAATTTCGCCAGCGCACCATCTTCAATCAGGATAATAACCTATCCATTGATTTCGGGTATCTCCTTGTTCGTTCTACGAGGATTCTTCAAGAAAATCGCTCCTGGCCACTACAATCCGGGTGAGTCTTCCATTTTCTACTGCTTTCAATAGTAAAAAAACGTAAAGGAGAATGCTTGCCATTCCAGTAGTCTCCGTTTCCCAATGTGTGATGCGACGAATCGATGGGCCCACCACGATGGCGTTTCTTGCAGTTCAAGCATTTGGTGCTTTCTTGGGAGCTGTACTCTTCCGATCGCTGGTATGTTCTATTTTATGTCTGAGACGGAGGTAAAAGATGATGTCTAGGTCTCTGACTCAATGTTTGAGCAGTATTTCATTGGAAGCTACTCGAGCAATGAAGAGTCGAAGAACATTGCTAGATCACAGGTATGTTCGAATATTGTATGTATTATACCAGCAGTAAGGATGGGTAAATTCTAAAGGGCATATTTGTTGCCGGGATCCTTGCTAGATATACAAGGGACAAAGTTCAAGTTCTAGTAACGATACGAACCAATGTCAAATGATCTTCTTGATTTGAGAAAAAGTCCGAAAAGAATTAGTTGGAAGAATTAATCGCATCACATACTAAAAGCTGGTGAAAATAGCGGTGAAGAAAAGAATAATGTGGAATTTCAATTCACGTACGAAAATTCCTACTTGAATTTTTAAAAACACGGCGGCAACTGTAGGGAGTGAAGAGAAAATGCGAGGGGACGGGGGGGGGGGGGGGGGGAGGAGGAAGGTGAGAGATTATTTGCTATGCTAATCGCAAAAATGATTTCTGAATATTTGGGTCTTTTGTGTCGCTGTTTGTGTTCTAGGGGTTTAGGTGGGACCTCACGCGCATTCAAGTCCAGAAAATTGGAAACAGTGTACGTGATTTCACCCGCCACAAAGTTTTAACAATTGTGAGGCTGTACCCTTTTACCGTACAATCACCGTAATCTCGCTAGGATCGCCAATCCAATGTCGATTTCGTAACCAGTAGTAACCCCGTTGCACAAAACATCAACAAGATCTCAAGCTGGATTGGGTAGTATAATGGACAGTCCAGAAACATCGTGGAGGTGAATAATTTGTTGAGTTAACTTTTTTTGGTCTCCACCAATCCTAGACCCAAAAATAACTTTTATTTTTTACAGCTTTGATTGTTGCAGGGCTTCTTTCTCGACATCATTCTATCGGCAGTGATATGCTTCAGCTATATGAGCGAAGATTCTCGCGACTACAATCTGCAAGTTCCCTTATGCTGGGTGAGCATCAATAATCAGCAATTTTGTGAATCACAAATCTGACTGTTTTTTCAGATGCTCGTGTCATTCTTCTCATACCCCTTGATTGGACAAGCCGGAAATGTGGCCCTTTCTTCTGCCAATGCCGTTGTTTACCACATATTTACTGGCGATGGCACCTCCACTAGACATCTCTATTTACATTTTGCTGCGGGTCTTATAGCTATTGTGCTTTCGTCATTTATAATGTGGTAAGCTTTTGTTTTATTTTGCCCGAAATGAATTCACTTTTGCCAGTTATTTTGTCTCATCCTTTCCAGGCTCCTGAAGACACCAACAAAGCGAAAAAGGGTAGATGACGGGGCAAAGGTAGAACAGCAGGATAAATCTATTGAGATTTATTAGTTTTAGGTTTAAAAACCGCTGTCTTTCAAAACTTCGTTATTATGTATTTTCCTAATGTACAAATGTTGGTGATTGATCAAAAATGTCAAATGTGCATAAAACTTTACACTATTCATCTCTTGAGAACTGGACATTATGACATTGTATCTGTTAGATAGATTAAATATATAATATTTGCTATAACCTGCAGGAGCCGGCTGTTCTCAACTCTAAACGGATAGAAACGATCCGCGCCATACCAAAGGTTAATTCTGAAGGACACAACACTGATTTTCAGAATCAGCGTTGTAGCGACCAGGTTGTTATTAGGTTGGCAACTAAGTTTTCCAACTTTCTCCATAATTTTTCTTTCCTTCATTATGGCTCCTTCAATAATATTTACAAGCTGCTACATGACAAGGCGCAAGACCTTCTAGCACGAACGCGGCTTTATTAGCCGCAGAGCGCATGAGGCGCATGTACAACGGTGAAGATACGGGCACGTCGCGTTCGCGCCTGCTAATCTAATAATGTTTCTGCACCTTCGCATGCAGTAGCCTTTAGATGGTAATGTGAGCCACAAGTGGGCATAAATTGTTTGTATTGATGATGAAGTGTAAAAAACTTGAGATTTTTTCCAAAAATACCTATATGATTTTACTGATGTATATGCAAGGACAAACGTTTGCAGCCTAAATCAAATAGATTGACCTTAGAACTACTGCAGGATTATTGCTCTAGTTTGGTTCATTGAGCTCTTAAAAAAGTAAAAGTAGTTGTAGACTGTTTGAGGTTTGGCACCCTCGGGAACTTGAACAACACAGCTGAACGCAAAACTGATGAAACATCCATTGATAACTAATGAGTGAAACCTCAGAATTTGCCGGATTTCATTAACGGTAATTATTTATTTATTTATTTATTTATTTATTACATACGCTCTAGGCGTTCCTTAAAAAGACAAAAATACACAGTTGCTCATACTCTAATACCACGATAATTCATTATGTAATTTGGGTCTAAGCATTTGGAATAGATTATTGGAAGTGTGATGAAAGCCTGTTTGTGACTGCTCTAAGACTGTAGTCAACAGAACTGAATTAGTGTGTTTCATGGAGATGGTACCCATGCCCCCTTTTTTGCCAGCAAAAATTTTGATTTAAACAAGCAAACGGTTTGATGGTTGGTAAACTGTCTAATCTCACCAAACCAGTATGCCGAGGAGAGTGCAGTGACTCAAATGGATAGCAGTAAGGATTGTAGAGAATGAATGACTCATATGTGAGTAAGATCATATTAAGCTAGTGTAATCTATGGAGTGGTAATCATACCACCTCGTTTGCCAGCAGAAAATGCTCTTGCTAAAATAAGCAAAGCGGGGCTCGGTTGATGAAATAGTAATAAAGAACCTTGCCCAAATGATTCCGGGGAGAGTCCAATGACTCCGAGAGAATATCAATGAGTTTCACTTTTTGTGTATCAACTAGAGCAAGTCAACAAGCTGTACTGATAGAAATGGGCAAATTGTTTAGACCTGAATTACCATAATGACAAAACATGGATTAGTAAGACATGTAAAAAGAAAATGTTACTAAGAAAAAACACAAGTTGTCGTAATGGAAATTGAGTTTGTAGTTTAAAAACTCCGTGCACTCGAGTTGAGTGGAACGCATAAATAAAGGCAGGACGAGCAGTGATCATGAAGAAGTTAGGATGACCATTGGAATGAACGACACATATCCACGTACATTATAGATGTCATAAGCTCTGTTCAACCTGAAGTATTTCATTTAGATTTACTTTTTTCAGTTTGAGTTTGAAAATTTTACTATCTTTAGAAGCTAAAATTTCACGAGGTAGTTTTTGAAGCATTTTTTGTGTACGACTAAATAATAACTAAATAATACTAACATAATTATACACGCTGAAAATGAGTATCATACTCATGATCAGCGTGTAGAATTACTCACTTCCCGTCAAATTTGAATTTATTTCGGACCGAACTAGTAAAGGCATTGTCGTGCAAAATGAGTATGCTCTCTGTAAAGGGCGTGTCGAGATGATATACATATAGACAACTTAGGTAATTAGCTCGCTCACTTTCTATAGATTTACCATATTATTGATGATCAAATGCTAAACTATTATGTATCCTTGCGCCCTACTTTTGCATAGTCGGCTGATTACCATCGGCAATACATTATGACGCGCGAAACATATAAGTAATGCCTCGCGAGTGAAAATTACTATCCATATGCAAACAATACTTTCTTTTATCACCAATACAAATGTAATAATTCTTTTTTCTAGGGAAAATTCCGCATAAATTCAAATTATTTTCTGTTTTTCAATGAGTGTGGGACACACTCTTGCTTAAGCAAGTAAAATATCTATAGCTATACATAATCGTTTAGTAGCGCCCTGTGTGGGGATACTTACATAGAAGTTGTTATTGTTAGTGAGCAGTTATCAAGGCATTGTCTTATAACCTGTACTTATGTATATACTTTATCTATATTGTTTTTTCTCATCTTTTGAACTGGACTGTTCGCACCGTAGCTACTATTATCACACTAGTGTTTACATGCAATCTGTGGCCGTATTCATCAACGAACCTTGAGGTTAAATTTTACCTTGAGAGCACGTCTCAAGGTAGATTTTAACCTCAAGGTAACTTTGCTATTCACAAATCTACCTTGAGGTTAAAATCTACCTGGTAGTCAACAGAGTACTCACTGACGTTTATTCGGAACATGCCATGACGTATCAGCGGTGCATGAAATCTTCTACTGCTAGTGATTTTTTGACTCATGTTGATAATGCCGTATATCTTGTAGGTGCACGTTACCATGTTTTGGCAGGAAAGCCTTCTGAGGAACTAAGCAATCATGTTTCAACACGATTGGACGTGGCAATTGATATAGGGTTGTCTCAAATGTTAGTACGCACTTTTTGATCGTTAATATCTCTTCTCAGACAAAGTCTTTCGGTTAGATTCAACAGCCATCCAGTAGAGCAGGCTTGAACTTAGATTGCTGGTATGGAGCAAAGCACTTATAGCTCTTCATTACTGTAGTATTACAATAGAAATTGAAGAGGGTTTTTAACAAAGTTAAAACCCTCCTTAACTTCCTATCAAATTTATATAAAAACATACGTTGATGGTTGAAATCAATGTATGAATTTTGGCCCAAAATGGCTAAATCAATTGGAACACGTAGAAACTCTCAGCAAAGTTGTCTAATGGTGTTAGCATCTCTGAAACACTGCTACACAACTTTCCAGCTTTTTGGAAGCTTTTCTTTGCTGGCCTATTTCAAAATGGCGCTGTATATTTTCCTATCGATCTTACAGCAATTAAGAGCCATAGGTGTTTTGCTCCATACTATAAACCTAAGTTGAAGCGCACTACTGCATGGTACTTGCAGCTAAGCAAAAGGCTTCCTGAGAAGAGAGTTACCACCGATCAAAGAGTGAGTACTTACATTTGGGACACCGTGTACAATAGGAAGAAGAATACGCTTCATGGCCATCAGAGTATAAGTAGAGTTAGAATTGAGCTGTATCATATGAAACGCAAATACCGCAAAGATTCACATAAGTTTTCAAAATTTTTACATAACTCTGTTTCACTCTTATAGTTTAGTATGTAAAACTTTGGTCCCAAAACTCCTCCCGGCCTCTTTGTTAGGGTCCGGAACAGCACGACGCCGATCCTTTTAAGGAGGGAATCGCCCAATCGAACAACCTACATCGCCCTATCGAACAACCTCTTTCTCCCACGAATCCAGGATGGGGACGCCAAAGGTGAACTGTGTGTGCAATGACACACATGATCATATGAAATGAAGCGACTGTACGCAACTGGCGAGATCAAGCGGGAAATCATAAAAATCGATAGTGGCAAACGCAAAGTGTTTCACGCTCAGATAATCAGCGGGGGCAGGCGGTCCGCAAACTCGCGCTTTTCTGCAGGCGGTCAGCAGAATTTTGGGGCATGGCCAAACCTTCAGCGGGCGGCACTTCCTTTAAGATCGCATATTCTGCCAGCGGGCAGTGATACAGCATTTTTTGTCGGCAAATAATTTCTTTCAGCAAGCGCTGACCAAACTTTCGGCAAGCGCTCGGAATCTTTTTATGCATATTCGGCGTACGTCGAGCACAGGTAAGACTCTGTGTGGCAGAGGTGTCACCTTTGGTTTAATTACTCAAGTTTGAGGTAGTTTCTCCCAGCGGAAAGTACCTGGGGGCTGCGCGGTTCTCCACAAAGGACCGTGCGGGCCCCGAAAATTCTGCATATTCTCGCGGAAAGAAAAGTCCGCGAGAATGCGCCACTGCGCCGCTGCTAATCTATAAGGAAACCGCAATTGCTCTCCAAGCATTCGTCTAAAATTTCGCAAAAATTTTCCAAATTTCTGCAAGCGGACCGCAAGAAATCAGCGAACTATTTTTCCGGTGCACGCTTGCTCAAAATTCGCATGGCCGCCTGCCCCCGGCGGTTATCTGAGACTGCGCGGCGTCGTCCACAGGGACAGACTGCCTGCCGCGCACCATTGCGCGGCACTGTCGTCAACGTGTTATTAGCTACTCCAATAATCATATAGTCGGAAACTAAGTTTTGCAACTCATTTAATGCTTTCCTCTCTCTCGACATATGCACTTAAATTTTGCGATTGCGATTTCTGTGACGTAAGCTACAAGCGCAGCTGCTGTTCTGCCATATTCTAGCTTCATAATGAGGGTTAAGCTAGGTATATGGTATGAAAAAATATAAAATATGACAGTTTTAGCTGAAACTTGGTATAGGTGTTATCCGACATGCTGATTAAAAAAAATGATAATGACATTGCGTGATAAAGGCTTTTTTGTAAGGTTACTGTGAGTTTGATATATAGGGTCCCACCCTGAACAAAGAAAGAGGCGATTTAACCAATGAATATGATATTCGTATCTGACAGGTCAAGTAGCCTTATGTCAAGTCTCGGCGAAAATTGGGCTTCTGATTCTTTAATCATTGACGGTCGTCCGCGCTTGCGTACTGCGACTTGGTCGACTTTGTGGGGGCGCCAAATCTCGACTCCCCTAAATTTTGTTTATTTCTTACTAAGCCAATGAGTCAACTTTTAGCCATAATTCGTACACGATTTCGGATCACTGCGCATGGTCTAGGCTGGTAACGGCTTCATTTCAGCTTGAAACTCCAGAAATTCTCAAAATTTACTAGTTTTTGAAAAATGCCTGAAACTGTCCTATTTCATGTCAAAATTTGAGCAATCTGCGCGCAGTTGTGTCACATATTGCTCTTTACATATTGCCAAAGTTTGAATGCGCCATAATTAAAGAGGTTGAATTTATGAAACTAGGTGCAAAACTTAGTGTCCAGCCTAATATATCTTACAATTATTGCTTTATTTGAAGACTAGTGAATTTAGCAACTCCATCCTAAATGTATATGTAAATTCATGCTGCAATAAACGCTCACAACTCCTCGTTAAGGAACGTTCCACAAATAAAAAGACAGATTTGGAATGTTTTCTGCTAAACTTATACATTCCCATCTAAAAAGGTTACTTCGACAAAAAAAGGTTTCCGTGTAAGTAAACAAGTGAAATTTGAGCTAGTATTGATATAATTCGTCCTTGAAAACGGTTGTCAGAATAAGGTCCTCAGAGATTAGAATGAAGGAGGTCCTTATGAAGAGTTCAACTCTTATGCAAATTCAAGGTAGATTTTAACCCTAGCTATCCTAGGGTTAAATTCTACCTTGGATGCATAATAGAAAGTTGGTGGAGAAATGATGATTGAGGTAAAATTCAACCTCAAGGTAGAATGATGATTACGGGTTTATGCGTTTAAAGGTTCATTTCTACCTCAAGGTAGACTTAACCCATGAGAGAATTTCATTGCGATCATGTTGTGAATACGGGTTATAAACTAAAATGCTAGCTGAGGTAACTTTTAACCTCGAGGGTTCGTTGATGAATACGGCCACTGGAAGGACAGAATCCGCCAGATACACATGTCAACTATTTACCGCGCTATGTAACACAGCCAGGCGACCTCTAATCCTTAATCCTATCAAACCTATTGCTGCAACAAGTGTCCGCGCGCGTACAAAACAATCATAATTCAGCGCCTAAGTGTATGCAAAGTGACCTGACAACCGAATCGAGATTAATGCTAGCGCCTGCTCAAACTCGGTGACCTTTCTTACAATATATGAAATAATTGCACAGCTGTCTAGATTACAGTCACGACACCTAGGATTAGGCATAGGAGATTTATTGCCTACAATACTACACCACTTTTCTGATATCAGCTGCCCAGAACAGAATAACAACAAACTTTATTACACAAAATAGTCACATTAAATGGGGAAAGGCACATTTGAAAGAATACCTACATATTCCTGTACGGCTTACTGGCAGCATCCAGAGCCCGAATGACTGGATCGAGGAGGTTGACAAAGTAGACGCCACTGATGTTCTCAACACTGCGCTTCAGCAACGCAGCCATCCTCGGAGGCATGTACATAATTCCTCCTAGTATGATAGTTATATGCCCGAAGTGGAGTTTCATTCCTGGCCGGTCCCCCCTCCATACATTGTCGTCATCGACTTCCTCCCAGTTATAGGGAGTCCCGTCGTTGCGCTCCATTAAACCTAAACGTTAACGTCTCTAGTACCACTCTCTCAAAATTTAAACATCAAAAGAAACAAATAATGTTTATTTCACTTACCACTAATGGTCGTATTGTCGACCATTAGGAGCGTCAAGAACGCCCTACCATCTCGCTAAATCTCAATGGTGGATTTCTCCACCACTGAACGAGATAGATAGGCCAGGAGGAACTCGTCCTCCTGGAACTGCCGGAATACGTTCTCCAATGGGCTGACCCACTTGAGTGGCAGAAAGCATCGCGCCCTCCTCAAATCATCTACCATCCACTCGCTCTCCTTTAATGGGAAAGAGCATCATAAGAAAAATACAATTACAGCCACACTACTCACCTTTCTAAGAGAGACGATGATGTCCTCTCTGGCCTTAAGTCGAGCTTCATACTCCTCCACAGCGCCTTCATGCTCCAGAGCCGTTTCGTACTCTTTCTGAAGGGTTCGCTCCAACACTGCCTCTATGCCAGCTTCGGACTGGGCACGATTGGAAACTTCCTCCTCCAAAGCGCGTACTGTCTCTTCCAGCAGTTGACTCGCCTGCTTTTCTATCGTTGCCCTCAGGTGCAACTTCTCTTCCATTTCACCCACCTAAATATATATATTTAAAAGAACTTTCTCTCAAAAACACTGAACAAGCTAAATTTATACTTACGGAAGAACATTGTGGAGCCTGGAGATACACTCCTCCAGCCCGGCGAGACGACGTTGTTCCAGTCGGGTGATTCCGGCGACCAGTTCGGTGAAGCCGGAGACGAGTAGGGGATGCGTTGATTCCATGGCGGATAGGAGATGACATCCATCTAAAAAACACATTTTGTTTTAAATAGGCTTTACAAGATAATATAACAAATTTAGAAGCTAAATATAAGAAAAGAGCAACCGCTATGTAAGCAAGAAAAAATAAGATATGGATGCCAAATGAAGTCTGGTGCATAAGACCCTGCACCAAAACTTCTAATTTTCGACACGCCTACAGTTATGTAACAGATTATTCGCATATGCAGCTATCGCTACTCCAAAAAATTATGTAATATACATGTAGATATATCTAGATTGGAAATAGATTTTTTTGGAGGATCAGAATGTACACTCTAAGAACGTATGCTCCGGACGGCTAGCTCCTCCCAGATTTTAGTGAGAGTTACAGTCGCTTCATTTCATATGATCATGTGTGTCATTGCACACACAGTTCACCTTTGGCGTCCCCATCCTGGATTCGTGGGAGAAATAAGCCTTCAGGTAAGTGTTTCCAAGGTGTTCTTAGCATTTTCTTTCCTTTTTAGTTACTAGTCACCTCAAATCGATGTAATCGATAACAATCGGTAAGTCTCTTGCGTTTTTGCGACTGCAAATCCAGGATGAGGACGCCAAAGTGGACTGTGTGTGCAATGGCACACATGATCATATGAAATGAAGTGACTGTACAATGCAAAGATGACCCGCCCCCTTTGGAAGAAGCTTAGATCATTTTATATTCTAGTAGCCACTCCTGCTGGCTGCTTCTTGGTTCTCCTCCTAGTTTCCCCAAGCCAACCATTACCTGATACGTTAACTTCAATCAATGTTGAACAAGCACCACAAGTTCGAACATCACGTCGTCTTTAGCTGAAGAATGCAGCTTTAAACAACCGTCATTTTGAAAAAAGAGGCACTAACTATTGAAAAATTTCTTTAATATATACATCCCATTTTTTGGGAATAGAATAGTTGTTTCTTCTTTGAGGTTAATTTATTTTCAATTCTCCACCGCTCGCGCTGCTGACAACTAAAGTTCTGTGAACAAGCAATTTAAGGAGCATTTTTCGCATTAAGCAGCTTGAACCATTTTTTTCTCATCTCACTCTCCAAATTTTGCCCCGCTGTTGAATGAAAAACAAGTCTGCTGTGTCCATTTTTGAACATTGGGAATACGTTAATTATGTAGTAAAATTGAATGATACTATTTTATTATATACGCTAGCATACGTATTTGTGCACCCACTTACACGTTACACCATTACACTACTTGTAATGATCATTATTTCTCATTATCATGCAACATTTCATTACGTATCACCTATATTTATATAGTTTACACAGTATAGTAAGACAGCCAGGCTACTGTACAGTCGAGTATGCGCGTGAACAAGTAGCCACGCCAGTAGTGCCAACATTTGGCGCGCGAAAATGGCCGGCGTCACAGGCGTAGCTATTTCTTTGCGCGCAAATTTTACCGCATTTCACCTTCAGTGCAAGCACACTATATTGAGCAAAAAAAATGTACTCGACTGTAGCTGTTGTATCTTGTACACGCCATGAATTATATTCTCCAACTTTGAACCTCAATTCATGATACCGCACTTCCTGATCACTGTCCTCCTTCAACGCCTAATAATCCCAAAAGAATATCCTACATTCCTTAGTCCGACGTGACGATCCCACTTCCCATATGACACCCTCTATGCTATTTTCTCCATTCCTGACAATCCTCACTCGAGGACGAGCTTCTTCAATGCACTGGGAGTAGTCGTAGCCATTTCCATGGTTCACTGATCCCTCATCCTCAGTAGCTCATCCTCACGTACACCATCATCCTTGAACCATATGCCTATCGTCAATCTCGAAGATGTTCTTGCCGAGAATCGCGTGTCCAACCAACTATGCAGCTACTCGGAAGAACAACCGTACAATCTGACTTGAGCTCTCGAAGGAATGGAGGTATCTATCGGGATGCAGTTGGATTGCATCAGCTGTTCGGAGGCTGGCCGACGAGAGTCACGCCGGACAGTGACAACCGTGGCCCAGGCACCAGCCGGTTGCCGCCATCCTCCCTATTCCCCCTCACTCTTGTATATTATGTAAATAATAAATATTTATATCTACTAGTGTATACCAGCTACCTCAGGAAGGGAAGTCGACACCCTTATACGTGACAGTACACTCACCGCAACCCCCAGGCGTACTGCGAATTTGGAACAAATTGTAACTCAAATCATAGTCTAGACATTGCTAAAGATTGACTATACCACATGCAAAAAGAAAAAAATTGTGGAAGAAGTGGCAAAATTAGTTACAACCTAATGTTTTTCGTCTAGCGTTGCTCATATAACAATAGATGGCCCAAAATTAGATAGCAATAATTCAAAAGTTTGGCTTTTCTGGTTTGACAAAGGCAAGAAATTCGAGTCGCGCCACTTAGTGTTTTGTGCAGGCACCAGGTGACATGAGACCTCGACTGTATATACTAAAAATGTCAGAAACATGAGTTTACAAGGATTCAATGATAGGAGATGCCTAGATCACGTTGTCGTCAGGAGACAACCAAGCGGCCCTAGATCGGGGAAGAAGCGACACATTTTTTTGAGAGAGGAGGGTAGTCGACTCCTTCGTTCGCAAATAAATGAGCGAAATCAACAGTCGAATACCCCACACTATTGAAGAACAGACGCGGCGAAGACAATTTGTTTGCAGTGATTTAGCAACGACAAAAGAAAACGACAAAATAAAATAAGACAATTTGGAAGACCAGTTTTGTTCATGCAGAGCCTTAGGCGTGCGTGATTTACCGTTATCAGGTCATCATCATGGCTTACCATATCGTAATTTTTTCACGCACAGTAAAAATTATATTTTCCACGTACTCATTTGCCTACTTTAAAAATTTCAAAATACGCCTCCTCTTAATATCTCATCCTCACTATCTCGGCGCGTGTATCCTAGGGGCATGTCATCGCATGCCTTAGCCATGAGAGCTGTTAACGATCTGATAAACAGCAGCAATAAAGAACATGTGAATATTTACAAGCACGTGCAAAGTAGATAATACGATTTGTAATGGCTTACGTACGTTGACGTAGCCTTAGGCGTAGCTGTCGCCTTAGTAGGAATATCTGCAGGTGTGGACAATACACTAGCCTGGCAGATTTGTTGAGTCAGACGACTTGTCCGCATTGGGATGGGACAGTGGTGGAATGCCAACGATAACAGGCGGAGCAAAGTAACTTGACGTGCGTCTGGGCAATGAACACACTCATATCACAGCAGGTCATACTTATGGCATGACCTTTACGGTAATCTGGCCGGGAATGGCACGGCTGTGAGGAAGTGCCGACAATGTCGGCACACACTTTCCAAATATCATAGAGTGGTTTTATGCGCCTCGCCAACAACATCCCAATGCTTCAAATTTGGGGAACAGAAAAGCTTTGTGTCATGAGATCCAGAAATCATTTCGTCGTCCGACTTCATAGCTACTTTGATTTCCAACAAGTCAAGTCTTTCGTGTAGTGCGAACAAACTGCTCCCCCCTCCCCACTCACAAAGCATGAATATGCGCTTGATTCTTATCCAAGGTCTGTCCACTCATAAAAGTAGATTACGCATGCAAAATGACGCTGATTTTTGCTGATGCGACCGGACCGCGAAGTAGTGAGCGTCTGATTCCGCGTACGCGATGCATCTGCACCAAGTGCCTATTACTCCACGCCTTAACTCGTTTCGTCGACGAAAGATCTTTCGTTTCGTAAATGTTTCTTGTAATGTTTCTGTTTCTTATGTTTCTGTTTCTTTCTTGCTAGAACGGTTCTGTTCCTGGAAACCCGTAAATCTATTATGTCAGTTTAAAATAGATCCGTTTTCCCTTTATCCTGTGATTCCCTTTTATAACATTTGATCTATTTTGGCAAATTGTTTTGAACCTGCGAATATCAGTTATGTTTCTATCTATACGTAACTTTATGACCTTGAATATCTTAGAACAGGTGCGTAGATGCAGTTTCTAACAATATCATGCATTTATCTGCTTTTGCGGCTAGCTTGGAGAGCATTCCGGCAGTGCTCGTTTTTCCTTCGTGTCACGTGCACGTTGATGCGCCAGGGCTTGTTGAATCTGCATCAAACAGTTTTTTCTTTTTGTGGCACGCTTATCTTATGTTTGACACTCAATATTCGAGCATCTTCAGGTTATAAATACAATGTTTTGTCCGAACATTGGAACTTTTGCACGTTAGTTTTTTTATAGACTCGAGCTGGTAACAAAATTACTCATAACTTAGCACTACTGTTGTATAGACCATTCTCGAGTAAATCTTGAATCAGTTACGGTAAGCAATATTCATTTTTCGTCCTCTTAGCATTTAATAAATTGTAGTTCTCAGTTTTCGCTTTTCTTAAAAGCGAGTTTCTGTCTGATATCGTTTTTGCATTGCCTTGATCTTTCCCATTTTCACGAAACGACGACTTTCAGAAATGTACAATGGTATAGGGCTTCAAACAGCCCGCGGTACAGGTACAAATGGATACGTGCAAGCGAATCTTTCAAATCTGTTGCTGTCGAGAGTAAGTATCGGACTTAAGAATTTAGTTTCATCCACACATATGATTAAACTATATCATTATTCCAGAAGCATGTTGAATACAACAGTGAAGCTGACTTACGCAGAGCAGAGGCTGAAATCAACCGCGCACCTAATGAGGAACTTCTACAGCATCAGCGAAAGAGAATCATCGAAATGAAATGTGTCGAATTCGAAATGTTGATGGAGGAAAAGGTATGATTTTTGCCATGATAAACTTTTCACTTGTTCATTTGAGAGATTTTCTCCCGTATCAGTTGTTGTTTGCGATATAATGATATAGCATTTCGGTCCACAAAACTATTTTTCGGCAGATCAGATTACTTTTTAACTCGTGCTTGATGTAAAAGGTGACATCAGAAAGGTTTCTGAGGTCTTTTGGAGGTCTTGTGAGATTGAGTCTTATCTCATAAATTTGTCGGTTCGGTATCAAACTAGATTTAGTGCTGCGTAGTAAAGATTTTTCAATTTTGGATATGGTCGATGTTCAATACTTGCTGTTTCGCATTGCCCTGATATTTATGGACTTCCGAAGTTGCTAACTTCAACCACTTTTTTCTCACTTTATTCCCTCTCCACTCACCTTTCGCTCGAATTCTTTACAGTCGTAACCAGGTTTTTTCCTACGCACATGATAATCCGACATCAATACATAACGAAAACTTTAATGCAGTTGTGACTAGCATTGTGATCTTTCTTAATGCTAACTCTGCGAGATTTTCCTTTGTTTTCAAAAATGTTTACTATTCTATAATGATCAAGTGTCGCGCTCAGAGCTTGTGGAAATTGAGAAACTTGCTTGTGGAACTTATAATTGCGAATTCACTCCTTTCGTTATCGGCTCTCATTTTTCTTTGCTTTTAGGGTTTCGATGATGATGAAATCTCCAAGAAGGTGTCGGATTACCGTAAACTTCTGTTAAGTCAGTTAGAATCTGGGGAGCTGAATTTGGATAGCGAGCTGAGTTCGCGCGACTCACATGCTCGTGCAAAAGCTGCAGCACAGGTTAGTGTCATTGTCATTTTTTGTTACTCTTTTTTAGTAGAGAATTGTTGCAGTCCGTTACATTTCGTAGTGATTACAGAATCGTGATCGCTTGAGAAATGCTCTTGGATTAGACAAAGATTTCGTTCCTGGTTCTTCAATGAAAAAGTAAGTTCAGCCTTTCTCTTTTTTTTTCTGTTGATTGCTCGCGTTGCCAATGTTCGCAGGACATCTACGCTATACAACGAAATATAAGCCTGTTTCATGTTGCCATATCCCCCGTGTGGTAGTGGTGGTGCGCTTTAGCTATCGAATTTCTTGCATCTTAATAGATGGGGTAGATGAAGCGCTTTTCTGGTCAGCAGGTTAACAAGGGCCATATACTACCATGTCATCGCGAGTTTTCAAATAACATGTACGATAGTTCATGATTTTCCTATTGCAGCATCAAGAAAACGGACGTGGTAGGCGCTGCACTTGCTGCTCCCGTTCAGAAAACTGAAGAAAGTCTCCTCTCTACTCTGAAGACAGAACTCAAAGAGAAGTCGGCAAAAGACAAGGTTTGTTTGTCTTCTGTTGCATTTTGGAGGCATAAATGTGCGAATTTTATCTTCTTCCTTTTATGACATAAATTCTGCAACTATGCTTGTGAACTTTGGATTATTCTTCTTGCACCGTATCTCCGAGTTTTTTTCCCTAGTAGTATCAACAATGCTATCGTCTTTATGAATCATTTGGGGTTCTCACATGATTTGTTTCAGAAAAAGAAAAAACGTCGTCACCAAAGCAGCTCCTCTTCGTCTTCTTCAAGCTCCGACAGTGATTCATCAGGTATGCTTACAATTTTCTGCTTCCCTCTTCTTTCGTGATTGCCTTCACACTATTGCAAACGTGTTAATTCAAATTATTGATCTGCCATGCTTTTCTTATCATATCGTCATAGTGGTTTTGAGTCAGTCACAAAGTCTTGTTTCGTAGTCATACATTGCTACCTCTATTTCGAATTCAGTATTAGGCTCTTGACGCAAATGCTTATATGTGGATTGCTTGGTAGAGTTTCCTCTGAATTCTAAGCAATAAAAAATTGCAGATGATGCATTTCTGCATTTTTCGTCAGACCTTCTCTTGCGCTTTATTGAGCCATTCTTCTGTCAACAATACATCCAGAGATGACAACTCTCATCCTACCGTGAATATTGTTGTTCCTTTTTCAGCCTCCATTGCGTTGCTTTCCAGATTCATCAGATGATTCTTCGGACTCTTCCTCTTCTGATTCTGACGAGTCGAGCAGTGAAGAAAGCGTTAAGCACAAGAAGTATGTTATCATTGATGCATACACAAACATGTTGAACTATGCATATAAAATAAAACCAAATACTGTTTAGAGTTATGAAACGAAAGCCTGAGAAGAAGTCTCCTGAACGAAAGGGGCATGATCGCCATGATAGAAGAGATCGGAAAGATGATAGTCGGAGCAGTCACAGGAGGTGCGTCATTTTTGAAGTTTCCAAGGGTTGCTTTCCTTACTTGGTTTTTCATTTATAGGAAGGAAGACGACAGACATAGAGAAGTGGAGAAGAGGCGTAGAAGCAGAAGTCGCTCTCCTGCTGCGTCTAGTAGAAGGAGAGACAAAGATGATAAGCGTGATAGTGGCAGAAGGCGAAGTTCGGATGATCGCAGTGCTAAGCGGTCCAGAAGGGAGCGAAGGTTAGTAGCATTCACTGTTGCAGTTGACCAACAAATCGGTGTGGGAATTTGATATGGCAGCTTCAAAAGCTCTAGGCAAAGCCCTTGGTTTGCCAAGATGTTTTCGGATCTTCTTCAATATTTACTGTCTGGTTTGTTATGAAAACTGGTGTTTTTGTGATTGTGCATGATGAATTCATTCTGCTTAAGGGACGCGACATACTTCGCCGAAAAAAGCCCAAAAGCGCCCGAAAAAAAACCCGAAAGCGCCAGAACGCCTACTTCACTTTTGGCGCTGGAGCATTAGTTTCGGAAACATGTTGGATACTAGAACAACTAGGTTTGAGGAATAATTGAATGAAAGGACCGCCTTGCAAACACAACACGCATACCCTATCGCCAAAGCTTCCGAGGGGGCCTTCCGGCTCTTTCTGGCGCTTTTGGGCTTTTTCGGTTTTTTTGGTTTTTTTGGGCTTCTCGGGCTTTTTTGGGCGCTTTGGGGCTTCTTTCGGCGAAGTATGACGGGTCCCTAAAGGTCGTAAACTAAGGCAAGATCTTACGGGCTCTTTTTCGTTGCCGAGAAGTTTTGGCGAGAGCCCGTGGACCTTACGCATCTTCTAAAGGAACCTGAGAAACGAAGTTAGTCTGAAATTTTTTGAATACCTGGTGCTGCTCGAAATACACTTTATGGTATATTACCAAATCTTATCATCAAAATTCCTCTTTCTATTCATTTTGGAAAAGAGATCTCAATTTTTGAAGGCTTATAACAGAAATTATGTTCGAATCGGTTTACTATTGCATTTGCTTCTCTGTTATTCTTGAAAACAAACTTACGCAAAAAAGGTAAATTGCATCCACTAGAGAGTTACAGAGTAGCCTTTTTGCATCTTTTTGAGATTCATTTGATGAAGCTCATATCGCGTTTTTACAAGTGGATATCCCTCCACTCCTTTAATCGTCCTGTTTCCTGGGTTTTGTATGTGCAAAAACTCGTTTTTTCAACGTTTGCCCTGCTTTGTTATAATAATTATTTGCGAGAAGCCGCTTCTGACATGCTTACAAATGTAAATGATTCCAGCCGCGAAAGGTCACCCGCTCGTGAAATCAAGAGGGAACCTCCATCACCGCAAAGTGAAGGGGAAGCACCGCCCAAGCAACATTCGCATCCGTCAGGATCTCGCGATAAAAATAATTCCAGAGACAATTACTCAGACGCATCTGATACGGATTCACATGACTCGCTAAGATACAAAATGAAAAGTACTGTAAGTATCGTGCAGAAGTGATTCATTAGATCTGTATTTGAGTTTGATGCAAGGGAAATTTTTTCTGAAGATTGTATCTTTTCAGTCTGTATGCTTCCTGAACTCTTACATTTTTGGTTTCCACCAGTTTGTGTTTGGCTATACAGGTTTACCAGTTTTTTGTAGTGAGTGCTAGCAAATTGCGCCCCATGAAAATAAACTATAATAGCTTTGGTGAGCTGCTTGTAAAAACTCATGCGCGAAGAGATGCGTAGTTGTGAAGATGATAGTTTTCTTAGGAAGGATGTGTATCAAACTTATGTACCGACCTAATACTTGTAATCTACCTCTTTTTTTATATGTTTTATGTTTTATCTTTTATTGTCAAGTAGATATATAGTATTCTGTTTTGCTGCAGGAGTCGCTGCATGTGTCCTCGATTGTAAACTACTAAGAAGTGTGAACAGTCTTTTGGTAAGCTTGGGTTCTTTGTTCATTGTGAATAAACGATTATTTGTCGATGCGTTGGTTTGTATTATGTGATAAGCTGACAACCATGTGGTTTCTTTTCGCATTGTAAATAGCGCTGTAAGCGTATCTATCAGTACTGACAACAGATACCTCACATATTGTAATGGCATTTTCGGATGAGCAGGAACTGATCGATCAGATACGTCATGATCTTCGTATGGAGGATGACAGTGGTGTCTGTATAAAAGTTGTTATCCCTGAGCGACGGTAAATTATGTTTATTTTGTGATCACACATCATAATATATTTCTAAGCAACGTAGATATACCTACAAGGGAGGTCCGATTAATCGAAGTGGCCTTTTTGAGTGAGTCATCAATTGTTTTGAAGAGCATTAAACGCTGATTCCGAATCTGATTCCATTATCTGTCGAGCGCCTTTCCGAGCGGAGTTATGAGTGTTTCTTGGAGCGAAAAATGATCGCAGAATTCAAGTAAAATTAACTGTTACGGATTTTTCAGCGCTCAAATAGAGCAGTTTGTAGTATGAGTGTTTTGAACAGAAAGTGTTCTTCAACTGGAGTGCTTTGATAATCAAAATTGGACCATTTGAGCAATTTTGACGAATTTTGTTCCGATTACGCATGCAATTTTCCAACCCAAAAAACGCTCATAAGTCGGCATCCAGAGGCGCTCGGCAGATAACGAAGACAGATTTGGAATCAGCGTTCAAAGCTCTTCAAAACGGTATATGATTCATTTGGAAAGGCCACTTCGACTAATCGGACCTCCTTGTTAGTCACTAGTTCCTTTAATAAGTGCCTCTCCCCTCTTCCGCATAACCGAGCGACCTCTACTTCCTCCTCTCCACTTCAGGGTCATAGTGGCACATTTCGCAACTAACCCAATCTTTATTACAGTTTTAGGTTTTTTATCTCAAACTTGTAATCACAGTCGACTGCACATGATCACGCGTTGCATCATTTTCTAAAAGCCGTATCTTTCCCAAAAGAAGGGAGACTTATTTCGCCTGGAGACAGGAACATCTGAACTTACATCTGAATACTGTAGTCCTAATTTCAACAGTCTCCGCTTAGTATGACTGCACTAGCCTTAAATTCGCACTGGCACTCGCAGTCAAAAAGTGTGAGGGCGGCCTTTATTTACTTTGTGTAATCGTATTTATGTTGCTCAACTGTTTTAGATCTCGAATTTGCGAACTTACCTTAGTAACCTTAACCTACCTTACATTTGCCCTTGAATTGCGAAGATTGAACTCTTCTGACAAATCGGAATAGTGAGTAAATACAGAAAGCGAGTGTTTGGGGTCGCTGTAATAAAACTAACAATTCACGTTTTCTGAGGGCGAGATACTAGGTCAGACACAGGCTAGAAAAGCCCGTGCGCCTGTTTGTAGAGTGACAGGAGGAGAACGCGATGGTATTTTCGCAGCGTATCTTAACACGTAGAAAGAGAAATGCAACCAAATTTTAGCGAAATTTAATCATCATTTTGAAAATGACGCCTAATTAGATGTTCGAGGAAAATAAATTTTGTAGCAGAAAATATTTAATGAGTGCACAGAGGGTGATTGATATGCTGATTATGAAACAATACCTACTTTGCATGGTAAGCAAGGTATACGTTGAATGTCGAAGTTTTATTTAGCGAAGGTTCGCACGGGAAGTTTCTTTAATTCTCACATTACTGTACTCATACGTCACGGTAAACCTTTATCGTAAAGTGCGGGTTGATGAGGATACGATATCCGTCGTCTCGTGCTTTTTGTTTTTTTTTCGTTACCATCCTCTTTTTTTGCTTGAGACGATTTCTAATCCTATCTTCGGTCACGACCAGTCCACCCCCCCCCTGATTTCTAGCCCCAACACGATTCTCCTCTTTCGCGCCTGGCCATACGCTTAGTCCTCCTTTTAAAGGCACCGTCCACTCAAAATGGAGGTTGGCGAGATTATGATGGCATACTAGTCTGGGCCCCCGTACTAGACAAACCCCCAAGTTTCGCCGCAAAAGACTGCTTCTGAAGCGAGAAATCCGCTCCGGAAGTAACAAAGTGGGCGGGGCGCCCCCGGCGGTCCACCCAACTCGAACTCAATGTTTTTGTCGCCTTCAGGCCTTCTGAAAGCCCTGATTCCGAATATGGAGTCGAAAATTCGCGAAACCCCCAAAAATCCCTGTTTCGAGAACCCTCTCCAACAAGTGCAGGCGAGATAAAGCATGCAAGTGGGCGGGGGGACCGGGGCGCCCCGCCCACTTTTGTTACTTCTGGAGCGGATTTCTCGCTTTAGAAGCAGTCTTTTGCGGCGAAACTTGGGGGTTTGTCTAGTATGGGGGCCCACACTAGTATGCCATCATAATCTCGCCAACCTCCATTTTGGGTGGACGGTGCCTCTAAATGTCGTCGTTCTCTGGCTTTCTCGATAATCCCCGTATCTGCCAAGTAGCCCGGTAGTGATACTGGCTCTATAATGATTTTTTGACTCCTTTGGAGTTCTTTGACTGTATTTATTTTGAGGAGAGCAAGATATGGAGGTCTTCCGCTCAACTTTCGTTCGGCCACCAGTTCGGATGATGAAGAGGAGCCATGTAATAGTGGCTACTTTGGATATGAGGCAATAATATGCGAGCAAATGTGTCTATCTTTCATTGTCCATGATAATATTTGCTTAGATACCTGAAAAAGGAGATCCTGTGCATACGAAAGAAATCATTGAAAACCGATTGAGATCACGTACAGTTGGTAGCGCAGATATTGGTGGATTTCAACTAGGTGGAAAGAGTTTTTGCTCCGAAAAAAAGCTATCATTCATGTGTTCTTCAGTGCAAAAAAGCGGCGATTCTGGCGAGTTGTTCGTAACGAAGAAATTGAAAGCTGTCAGAAGTCCTGTGCGAAGTCGATCGTTAATTTCTAAGTGAGTGATCAGCTTCTGTCGTCCTATCGCACCAGTTGCGCTAGTTTTCCACAGATTCCCTCCTTCACTAATTATGTCGGCGCAGGTATATTACCGAAAATGGTCCAGCTCTAAACAATCCTCTTCTGGAATATGCTAGATTTGAAGCTGTCGGTGATCAGCAGTCAAAGACTGTTCTGGTGCTTTATCCGGACGAAAGCAGGTCACATGGTAACATTCCGAGTATACAGGTAATTGCACTAGCTGATGAGTTCCCAAAGTAGCGACGGAACCAGGGATGCATAACATTTTGATAAGAATCTCATCTACTTTTTGAAGTGGTTTATATAAAAAAAATATACTAGTATATATCAAAGATCCAAAAGTCAATCTGTCAAAAATCAGCAAAGTAATCTTTGGATTTAAATTGAACTAGCTTTCAGAGACGCGCTTACCTTTTCATTATCTCTGCACTGAATCTTGCGAAAAATTTTGGGGTCCGGAAAATTTTCGAGGGCATGGTTCATGCCAAATCCTTCATTTGTAAATCTTTGCATAATTTCAGATTATTTACCTTTACCCCCCCCCCCCCTCCCCGCTCTACAAAAGTTCTGCTAGTTATATCACAACACTCTCCTTTATTTAAAGTTTACTGCTGATGTGGTGCGCATGTGCAATTTCAAAATGAGAATGTTTACAAGGTCCATGAAATTTATGCGCAACATATCTTTACGTTTAGATCCTCAAATCTATAGGCTTATCCAAAAATAAAGTGACCCTATTTCGAGCGAGTACAAAATCTATCTACAAAAATTCGGGATAGCAGTTGACATCTCGAATATTTTTGAGAAGATTTCAGTGTGTCCTTCCCCCCTAATGGTTAGAGTCTGAGACAAGTATGATTGAAGATTTATGTTTCCCCCTCAGTTTCTGTTACGTGCTCTTCATAGAAAAACTGGTCCTGTACACTGCATAAATTTTTACAAGTCTAGCCGATTATTCTGGAACAAGTATTATACAAAGAGTTATTACCGGGGTATACTTTATTGCCCACTCAATAAGTTAAAATCAAATAATAATTGTTTTACCATTTTTTAATCCATCCTGTAGTTGCTCAGACATTTGTAACGATTCGATTCGAATTAAGATATTTGATGCCATATCAAGTGCTTTTTTACCTCAGTAGTCCACTTGAGTTGCTCATTTCGAGAAAAATTATCGTATTCCAGATATCTGTTCAACCTCTTGCCAGAGTAGGGCAAGTGATTGGTTACTGCCTTTACCGTTATCTCACAGATTTCGGTGACGTGCTGAGGTCAGTTCAGCCTGGTTACCCTGCATTATCACAACCATCAGCTTTCAGTGACAATGTTGATAATTTTCAACTTATGATGGCAGATGAGAGTGGAGAAATAGAGCTCGACTTACCTCCACTTGACAAAGGCAGAGCTATAGGCGAACTTGGCTTTCCAGTATTAGCATTAGTTTCGAAGAAGCGAATTAGGAACGGTGAACTGGAGTTGAAGCACAAAGTTATTGTGTGAGTTGTGTCGTGGGTAATTACGATTTACCTCAATGGTATTTTTTTGCAGTTATACTCCAGATTCGCAACAGTACATATTTGAATTAGAAAATCTTGACCATACACTGCTATGGTTACGAGATGAGACAGTAAAAAGAAAGAGAGCAGATATCGACGAACGGGAACTTGAATTGATGCCAGGTAATTTTTGCTTTTTGTTTGAATTTCTATTATCTACGCTGGTTCAAAGACGCTGGGAAGTGTTCTCTTTTGAGGAATGTCTTTCGGTACGGAAAATTTGATCTTTGTGCTTTGGAAGCTTCATGCCAGTCCTCAAAAATTCTGCCTAATCAATTTTTCTTCAGAAATAGATTACGATCTGGAAGACATAAACGTTTTCGGCAAGCCTCTGAATTTACGACAGTCCATTGCGAATAGCGGTTGCACGGAGTTTGTTTTAGTCAGGAAATTCAGTGAGTTCTGTATTTTTGCATTTGTAGGATTTGGCATCCTCAAGATTATGTTCAAGACCTTTACGTTTGAAAATGTGGCACCCTATCTTATGTGGCTGAATGGTTCCTGTGTGGTTCCTTGGGAATTTCATGCCCAATAATTATCGTTTTTTTCCTTTCGAAGTTTATGGTTCTTGCAGGTTCACGCGGTGATTTTCATCCACGTGGAATACATAGGCAAAAGAGTGCACTTCTAACACCAGTCTCTCGCTCGTCAGATAAGAATTCCGTATTTGGTAAGGGCAAAGCTTTTTAAAATGTCTTTCATTGTTCACTCACATATCCTTTCCAGATTTTGATATCTCGAGAGTGAACTCTCTCGATACCACATGCTCTGGTGCAACGTCTCCCGTACTCTTTGCCGACGATGACGATACTATCATGACTTTCCCAGTGACTCGTCTACATCGAATGAGAAGAAATTGGCCAGCCACAATGTGTAGGATTTTTTCCCCTATCAATTGACCACATGCACTTCGTTGAATTTCTTTTGAAAAGTACAAAAATAGCATGGAAGTACCGATCTTCAGAAGTCCTGCAGTTCGGAGCAAATCTGTTTATCTGGATTTCTCATTTGGGATACTATCGAGTGTTTAGCTAACAGTGGAAGTATGCTTACAAATGAAGGATGGTCAGTCGAAGTGGCCTTTTGCGATGATTTGTATACGATTTGAAGGGCGTGAAATGCTGAATCCAGAGCTGTCCTCCCTATCTGCGGTGCATTCCTTGACGAAGAATTATGAGCGGTTAGGGGGGCAAAAAATGAATGTTTTTCTGGGATAAAAACAATTGATAAAATTTTCCCAGCGCTTGAGTGAGACAGCCGGAGTGCGGAATATCTTATCTAATAAGAAAAGCAACCTAACTTAGCTGGGCCTTTCCGTAAAGCATATATATTCTGAATCAGCTTTAAACGGTGATATCAATTATGCTATTCCTAGCTGCTACGCACCATTCCAAAGCCAGTTATGGGCTTTTTTCTAGGCAAAATTGGCATACTACTGAACATGAGAAGACTGCCTCTAGGTAAAAATTTGCAAAAAAAATGGTGCTGAGGTATCGAAATAGTACAATTCCAATCTTTTCTCATTAAAAAGCTTAACGCAGGTGTATTAGCACTTAAATGATGACGCGATGCCCGTGGGTCGATTGAGCATGCCAATTTTGCGCAGGAAAAAGCCCATAACTCTCGGAATGGTGCGTGGCAGCTAGGAATAGCTTATTTTTAATCAACTTTTGAAACTGATTCAGACTATTTATGTCCCTCGCCAAAAGGCCGAGCTAAGTTAGATAGCTTCCCTTGTAGGAGCATTTATTTTATAGAGTGCTGGAAAGATTACCATTTGAGCGCTAGGAAGAATGTACTATGTATGTATTTTATATTATTTGCACATTCAATTTTTCTCTCCAACAAAGGCTCATAACTTTCGTGCAGAAACGCGCCGCAGATAGTGAGGACAGATTTGGAATCGGCGTTTTATGCCCTCCAACATGGTATATAACTTATCTCAGAAGTCCACTTCGACCAACCATCGTTCCCTTGTTAGTCGAAGTATCTTTTCAGATAGTATGTACCATATTGGAGGGTATGAAACGCTGATACCAAATCTGGCTGCTTCCTAATCTGCGGTATAGTTAGGGGACGGGGAGTTATGGGCGTTTGTTGGAGCAAAAAATTGGAGCAAGTGGGAAAAAAAATGGTCTTATTGATATCTCTAGCGCTTTAATAGCAGTGATAATTATCACAGCACTTCATTCAATAAAAACTTTAGGATAAAAGAACGTATTAGATATGGTTGCTTGGTTTGAGAGCAAGTAAGAATTTCGCAACGTTTTTTATGTTGATTATTAGCACATTCAATTTTGCTCCAATCAACGCCCACAATTCCTCGTCCATACGCTCCTCAGATGAGGAAGTTAGAGTTGGAACCAGCGATCTATGTTCTCCAATACAGTACACATCCCATCTGTAAAGGGCTTTTCGACTAAATCTGCTTCCCCATCAGCTATTACTCAAGCGGCAGCTCAAATGGTCTATAGTGAGTGAGAAACTTAAAGGGAAGCATGTTTAGTCAAAGTCACGTTTTTAAATGAAACTCATACCGCTTTGAAGAGCATTGCACATTAACTTCAAATCTGTCTTAATTTTCTGCTAAGCACCTCTGGGCGCCGACTATGACCGTGTTTTGGGACGAAAAATGAGTGCGTTAGGTAAAACCAGTTGCTAATTTCTTTCCAGAGCTCAGATAAAGCAGTGGTAAGCATTAACATATTAGACAAATCATATCCACTGCATGAACTGCTCTGATAGGCCTCGGACAGAGTTCACGCGAATCAATCCTCGCGATTCAGTCGCGACAAGACAATTGTTACGAGTTCATTGCATGCCGATCTTCTCGTATTTCGGTTGTGATAGTTAGTCATGATTAGTCGTGTTGGAAATACGAGAAGATCGGCATACAATGAACTCGTAAAGGGCCGGGCATACTTCACGCGATTTCTGTCGCGACCGATTTGGCAGTTCGCCAGATGTCTTCTGAATCCAACACTAGCAAAGTGCACCTGCACAGTGTGTATAACTTACGTAGATTGACAAAGTGCCCTATCTTATATACATATAGAATGTGCCTACAGTGAGTTATGGACAGCTGGAATATCGCCAAATCGCGTCGCGACTGAAATCGCATGAAGTATGCCTGGCCCTTAACACTTGTCTTGTAGCGATCAATCGCGACGACTGAATCGCGTAAACTCTGCCCGAGGCCATACTCGACTTCGGAGTATGTGAGCAATGTGGGCGATTTTGCTCCAATTTTGCGTTCAACTTTTTGATCCGAAAAACGCCCATAGCTCGGCTTCCAGAGGCGCCTGGCAGGTAATGAAGGCAGATTTGGAATCAGTGCGCAATACTCTCCAAAGCAGTATGGGTTTCATCTGAAAGGCCACTTCGACTAAACACGCTTCCCGTTAGCTCAATATTCCAGCCCAGACCGCACTTTCCAAAGTGTACCAATCAACGTCTTCAAGTCTAGTGAAAAGTACAGAGTGGGTTGGAGTACAGAGTCGATACAGTCCCAGTGGATCATTTGAGCTGCTTTGATAAGAAACGCATAATCATAACTGCTTGTTTGAACGGAAACTCTCGGCTGAGATTATTAACAACATATTTTAGCAATACGATGCGACTCTTTTGACGTTGTTCCCTTCGTCCATCGCAAATCTTTTCTACCACATAGTCATCACAAAACCATAACTGTTCCGTGGGACTACCTCTGTGAAGTCAAATTGGCTGCGCGTGATCCAGGTAAAAAGTTTCAGTTCGCAGAGCTTTGTCCACTCATAAAATTCTTTCTGACAGCGAACACATCTATCCTCTCTATAACATTTCTACCGTCGATCTCAAAGGTTGCGAATCCTCCGGAAGAGGAAATCACTTTGCGCCAAATAGTCCAAGTAGGAATTATCTGAAGCGGCTGCCGTACTACCGTTCTCAAATTATTTGTTCTACAGTACTACAACGATCGTGACTGGAAAACCATACATCTTGAATTTGAGAGTCATGAGCAAGCCGCTCAAGCGAGAAGTCATATGGACGACGCAATTAGGACTTTGAATGCTCCTGCATATCAAGTAGGTTTAAGTTTCACATTTTCAAACAATTTCCGGCTGACACCATTGTTATACATTAGATGATGTATTTGTAACAGGGTATTTATAAAATAGATGCAGTTGTCTGAAAGAAAGGTGGCTGTGTCTGTCAAATTGGCAGACATTTGTCCATATCAGAACATATCATATCAGAACCTTCCTTGATTCAAATAACTGCCTTTATCGCGACTGGGGTCCCCAGCTCCAGACATTGGTGGGTTAGAGCTCTCTTGCATCGGCGACAGAAGCTGGACTCCTCCGAGGAACAACGTAACGACATGTGGAGAGATTCAGCGTGCTTGCTTTACGGCCTGCCATATCACAGATACACAAACGGGTTAGAGGCCCTGGGCTACCAACCTACCATTTAATGTTAACTGCCTGCTATCTCAAGCTGTTACTAACATTGTTGGCTGTTGTATTCACAAGCAATTTGTATCGCTAACGCGAATCATGACCGTCCTTCTTGCTGATGGAACCTGACTGGACATCAAATCAACAATGAACACATTAGCATGTAGATGTAATTGGAGCCAGAACCTAAGCCTGTGGCCTGCCCCTGCCGTTAATACTTTGAAATTCAAGATGCCCACCATTTATCTCAAATGGAAACCGACACAACGTGCTCTGAGCTCACGAGTACAAGACGTACCTTTTCCGATTTTCGAAGCGAGCGTTCAGCCGCCTCTTCGTGTATTCAATAACGAAACTTATGCCGCACTATACTCTCAGTCAACACGTGGCACTGAAGGTTTTTAGTTGCAAAGTTTTTTTGGCGGGTTCAGGCCGGTCGAATGGAAAAAACAGGTGCTTTTTTTATTTGTTAAATTAGGGTACAATGGGAGTACATACCGGTCAAGATGTTACCTACTCAGGGATTCGCGCCGTGCGAGCGGTCCCCCTATAAGCGATTGCGTAAAGGGGCAGGCACAAACATAAAGTTCTCGTGCACGAGAAGCGTGAAAAGAAACAGTGGGAATTCTGTTTAAGCGGCAGGCAATGATCCCAATAGGGATACGTGAAAAAGAAACCTTCTGTGCTTGCCCCATTGCCATAGCGAGCCAGAAGGTACCTCGATGTGGTCCGCCATCCTCCTGCGTGGTGAAGTCAAATACGCTTGAGGGAGGGGAGGGGGGGGGGGGGTGCGCTGCTCGATTGGTTGACAGTTGAGATTGAAGTTGAAGCCACCGCTTATAGTTAGAACCGAATATTCGTGTTCGAATAATTTATTCGAAATATTCGACTATTCGAATATTCGAATAATCGAACATTCAAAACAGTCCAGTTATTCGATTGTTCGAATAGTCGAATGAATGAAAAAGGCCTGTATTCGAATAATTCGTTCATTTGATGATTTGGAAAAATGAGTTATTCGAATATTCGTTTATTCGAGGAATTTTAAAAGACGGCTATTTGAATATTCGAATATTCGAGCCAACTTAAAAGACAGTCATTCGAATATTCGAATAATCGAACATTCAAAACAGTCCAGTTATTCGATTGTTCGAATAGTCGAATGAATGAAAAAGGCCTGTATTCGAATAATTCGTTCATTTGATGATTTGGAAAAATGAGTTATTCGAATATTCGTTTACTCGAGGAATTTTAAAAGACGGCATTTGAATATTTGAATATTCGAGCCAACTTAAAAGACAGTCATTCGAATATTCGAATTTTTGAGAGCATTCATTCGAACATTCGATGTCAAAAACTTTAGCTGTTCTACTCTGAAGTATGTCCCCGATCGGTCAATCACACAAATGAATTATCAAATGACAGAATGGCTAGCAAGCTTCCCTTCTTGAGGCATGAATCGCGAGTCATGCCAGAGCATAGTGGTGACAAGCCCTTTAAATAATTCATTTGGAGTGGTGAACTATCTTCTGGAAATCGCGTCTGAGAAGTTGAGACGCGTAATCACGCGCAGATACCTCCAAACTCTAAATTGGGTGAAGATGCAAAGCCATCATTAGGCGTCCAATGCACCACTGGTCCTCAAACAGCTTGCATAAGCATGTGAAGGACCAGCAGTTCTTTAAGGCAGCAGGTATAGGCAACATTCATTCCTTCATCTCGAGGTCTTCATTTGCCTTGCCAGCCTAATCACCGCTCTCGTGACAAAGTACCTCAAAGATACGTTACAACGCAAGGCCAGAGTAGGGCGGTTGTGAGGACCTGAGCCGCTGGATTTGTGGCGGCAGCTTATATGTCAGTTATTATACTCAAATCAGCTGCCCCTTATAATCAGGAGGCGTAGAAAACTGATGTTAGAATTACACGCCTACATGAAGTACGCATGTAGGCGCATACTTGAAGTACAATTCCTCTACGAACTTTGCATCATTGCAAAATTCGTAGAGGAATAATACTCCGAGTAGGCGTGTAGGTTGAATAATAATTATTTTGAACCTGAGTAAAAGATATGGAAGACCCCTTACAACAAAAGTACACACCTCAAAAATACAACTAAAACAGATTTGTGAGAATTCAATTCCACAGCAGAAACTGTGAAACTCGAGGATTGATAATTCCCGACAAGTATTAGATTATCAGCTAATATACAGATATTTCCACGAGTTTTCTTTTGCTGGATTTAGATGAGCACAGAAGTATTAGATTATCCTGGAAGTTTTGTCCGTTTTTTTTTCATCGCTCACTGGTACTCACAGAACTCCGGTTCGTGATCAACTTAGGTACGATTTGATACAGATTTTTATCTTTTTTCTTATAGCTGTATTTGCTCTCTGATCTACTGTCTTTGCAATGTTATCGTCACGGCTTCCTGAGCAGCTCAGAAGTAACGCCAAATTTTTACCGAGTTTCAAAAATTTCTATCCTGATGTTTTCAAAGAGCGCTGATGAAAGTCATTGAGCAGGCCTTTAGCTACATTGTACCCATTTTAGATTACATGGGCCATGTTCACCAAGCTCGTTATGATTACTTGTTTGATAAAAACTGCGCCTCAAAACTTCTGTGGAATTTATGTGTCTGGAACGGGTCAGAAAATGAATTACGGTTTTAAGATTCAAAATTCACTGTACGCTGAAGATAGATTTCTTAAAGCGCTCCGCCCTGGACCCCGCAAACGTCGTTCCTCTTGCTTTTCCCCTTAAAAATGATATTTATTTGATTGGTCCAGCTGCGCCGAGCTTGCCGCCATGGCTTGACATTAGCTCATCGGAACGGATGTTTTAGCACTGAATATCGCAGAAAATAGTACTCCTTCTCTTATCACAACGGTGCTGACCTTTCACTCAATAGAGCTTTTCTATCCACGCCGTATTGTTTGCGGTTATTTAAATATTTGAAGCTTATAGATCCATGATTCTTTATGTGAAGCCGAAAATCGTCGTTTTCCGACTGTCTGCTTTTATTGAATGAACAATGCCAGCACATCGAAGGAACCACTGAAAAAAGCTCTATTGATTAGTGTGTCACATGTACAGGGACTCTGAGACAGAGCAGCATCGATTTGGACGGCCTTCAAAAATTCCTATTGAACTCTCGACGCGTCCCCTTGAACGAATGTGAGGAATAATTTGCTAGCAGAATGATAGGCGAAAATCAAATGAATGACATGTGCCTGATTATTGCCAATCATAGCGAAAAATTTTATAATTTTGAAATTCAAGGGTGCTCCATCTCTAACAAAGCATGATCTGTGGCCGCATTCATCATTGATACCTTGAAGTAAATTCTACCTCCAGGTAGTTTTATCACTCATTATCAGCAAATACACGTATTCACAAAAGTACCTTGAGGTAAATTCTCAAGGTAAATTCTACCTTGAGAATTTACCTCAAGGTGTTAAGTATTGAATGGAAAGTACCTTGAGGTAAATTTTACCTCAAGGTACTGTTATCACTCAAAATCGGTATTCATCAAACGGACTGCATTTACCTTGAGGTAAATTCTCAATGCAACTTCTAACCTTAGCTGGGAGCAAGGTTAGACGGATACCTTTGGAGATCTATAGACTTTTATAAGCTGGTTTTTTGCATGATCAATCCAGTAACGTAGTTTAGGTCACTGTAGCAATTTTGCGAAATTTGGTTGAAATCGATGACAGTTTTAGGGGTTGAACGAACTTAGCACAAACTTTCTGTCTATACTCTTACAAACTTCATGTATTTTAGTAAACGCGCGAAATTTTGATTCTGTTGGGCTGAAGGTAGTCATACACAGAATTTATACTCTTTCGCAGCATTATGAATTCAATAGCATTGTTGAAATCACAAAGTTGAAGTTGCTATTTAGAACCACTTCGTTCGCGGTCTTCAAATGTGTATGCTGATCCTCGATATTGATACTTCTTTACCGCTAATCTTATATTTCAGATACTAAATTTTGTTGCCTGCGATAAAATCGGGCGAGGTCTTCAGCGCGACGAAAGAGTTAGCTTTGAATGCAAAAATCAAATAACTGTTGCTGGCTCACCAAATTCTTGGCACCTTTACTCTTCCTTTTCTGTCAACATACATATGAGCTTAAGCAGCATGTAATAGAAGTTTATTCTGAAAGCAGAAAACTGGTAATATTTCAGCTCAATCTGCCATCACAAGCTTATGTTTGCTATAAAAAGCTCTACGAACATTTTCCGAATATTTTTTCAAATAAAGTGGAGAGACGCCAAAGTAAATCAGGAACCAATTGTCACGATATTGCTAGGCGACTGAACAAGGAAAAACATCTTCAAACAGGCAGATTTTATTATTGGAGAATGAATGCTACGGATCTAAAATAAAACGTAAAAACAATTAATTCGTCAGATTAAAACACTTAGAGTCTAAATGTCGACCAAGTAGACAAAACCGTTTCGAAATCAGTAACTGCAGCGTTTTGAACCCTAAAGGCAAGAAGTTTCTTGTGCAAATATCATGCGGATACATAAAAAGCAATTCATCGCAAGTACGTCATGCCATGCTCCTGATATACGTCAGTCCTTATCATGCTGGCACAGGTAAATCTAACCTTCAGAGAAATACTTTGATGAATACGAAAATTATACCTTGAGGTAAATTCTACCTTGAGGTACATCTCAAAGGCAGTGTCCGGGCAAAAACTCGATTTTGAGATTTTGCGCTTACCCGGGCCTATTCGCTATGCTGAATCCGAAAATCCACATTGGAAAGAACGAAAACGGCGAAAAAGGGCTTTAACAGAGGAAGGAAATCGGCAGGTGGGCGGGGCTCTCCCCAAAGCGAATTCACGCTCCCAGCTCCCGGAGCGATCTTCTCGATTCCGCTAGCCGTCCTAACATCGCTACCGGTCAAGTGCGAATGATTGACTTGAAACCGGAAGCGAGAAGGTCGCTCCGGAAGCCGGGAACGTGAATTCGCAGTGGGGAGGGCCCCGCCCACCTGCTCATTTCCCTCCTGTGTTAGAGCCGTTTTTCGCCATTTTCGCGCTCTACAATGTGCATTTTCGGATTCAGCGTAGCGAATAGGCCCAAGTAAGCACAAAATCTCAAAATCGAGTTTTTGCCCGGACACTGCCTTTAAGGTGAGTTGCATTGCAGTGGGGTTCATTCTCATAACATCATTCTAGTTGGAAGCAGGGAAGATGTGTTGAAGTTCAGTTCTTTTTCTAAAGGACGGCCAAACCTGCCGAAAAGAACTCCGAATTGTCCAAAAGCGCCGAAAAGTGAAAGCGGACAAAAGCGCCACGCGCCAGCTACAAGCTCCTGAAAATCACTGAGGTCTGCACGCTTAAAGTTATTGGCACGGTCAAGGTCTCTTTTTATTTTTTTTTCCGAAACAATTATCGTTTCAGACTTTGAAAGGGGCCAAGTAACGGGTAAATAATGCAAAACAAAACAGAAAAAAGAAAAAAATAGAACAAAACAAACCAAACCAACATTTCAAACTCAAAAACTAAACTTATATAGATTTTTTTGAGCACAATAAAAAAACAGTGATTATAATGTGACCGGCGTGATTATCCAACGATATTTTGGTAAAAATGCAATCTCATAACCGAAATCTGCCACTCAAAGTGGTTGGTATTACATTTCAGCTTCTTTGGGCTTTCGCATCTGAAAAGTTTTGCCTTCTCAGTGGCAGGACCATTCCAAGAATTTATGTTTTAATTCTACAGTTCTTCAATGAAGAGAAACCGGTGTTCTGTGCACAATGGGAATACCAATTTTTTTGAAGTAATGTCAACTTTACGGCAAACCCAATTGCAAACTTTGGTTCGAATGCAAAGCATTCAACAAAGTTACACTGTTGCAAAGTTAGGCTGAAAGACTTTGCGACACCCTGTACATATTTCTTCGAGGCCACTGCAACTTGCTATCCTCCGCTTATAAGTTTCGAAAATGAGGTGCGAACTCATGTTTCATGAGGTGCGAACTCACGTTTTGTCAAAATATGTTGTTTGAACAAAGAAAATGGCCACAAATTCCCTTTGATCATTTAAGACCTAAGACATTCTCGTTTTATCGTGTTCAAACATGTAAGGGTACTTCGAACCGTCTCCCTGTCAAAACATGTCATTTCGGGCCCAAAGGACACAATTAGCAACAAATTTTGTCCTAGCAAAAGTTCTGTTGGAAATGAAAAACTTGATGCACCGCTTATACTCACAGCGTGGTCGGAATAAACGTCACTGTATAGTAGATTGGCAAAGGTAGAATTTACCTCAAGATACATTGATGAATACGAATCGCTCAAGGTGCAATGTACCTTGAGGTAAAATTTACCTCAAAGTAGAATTTACCTTAGGTTCAATGATGAATACGGCCTCTGGAAGCCTTGCAGCAAAACCCTTTGTAACTTCATTTCTCATTTTTGATATTCGCTTGAATTTGAAGAAAGAAGACGTGTTGAGTAAAATCACATAGCATGTCAGAGCTTTTGATACAAAACTACAACCAATGCTCGCAACTATCAAGTCGTTTGTACTGTTCAAAGATCGCAATAAAATTTGTAAGGTATGTTTCATGACTTAATTTACCAAGGGAAGTTTTCAATGGCTGCGCACTTGTATGCAACATTGAAAGAGTATGTATTGACCTCAAAAGTTTTTAGGCATATCAGCGATCGTTCAATGGCAGCCGAGGTCCTGCAGCATCAGCAGAATCACTGCTCATGGAGATGGCAGATGAGCTGCTTCCGTCTTCGTCCTCCAGTCGCTCTATCAAAACATCGGCCATTAGAAAGCTGAGAAAGTTACGCAAAACTTTTGACATGAGAGATTAGCTAGTTGTAAATTGTCAGCCGTAGTCAACTCTAGTCCTACAGAGATTTGTTGAATGTCAGTTTCTTACTTATGTTATTACGAGTACACTTTATCTTGTACTTTATTTTCATGCTGATAACCCCATCGGAGTAGGTAAGATTATTCCAGTTAATCGGCTTGCAACATGGTTATTGTAATTTGTTGACTTAGAATGTTGATATTCTGTATTTCCATTTACATTTCCACTTTCCATTTTTATCACTCAGGGCCACATGTGTAAACTTAGGTATAGTTATTCTTGGCAGTTTCTAGAAATCGATATGTTTTCCTTCGCAATCAAGCAAAAAATGAAATTTTTACAAATGTGATACGAGGATGGAGACTGTGATTTCGCTCATTTGCCACTGTGATTTTATTTCAGCTTTAATGCGATAAATGTTTGATGTTTCCATGAGATGATTTCCCTGCACTCATTTGCTCAATGAAAATGGATGTGACAAATAACACTTGGCGAAATGAGAACGACACGCGGGTGCCGTCAAATACTGAACCCCTTAGAAATCCTTCATCAAGATTGGAAGCAAGCTTTTCATGGTGGGAATCGTTGAGCGCACCTTCATCATGATAATTTAAAATGAGTGAAGAGTCATGAGTAAAAGACTTATGATTGGCATATTTCAGTGCCGTCAGCTGGCTTGCCGCTACTCCTCTGCTGTAGGAACACTGCGCGAAGGCTAAGCTGGCTAAGGCTCCCTTTGTCCTTTTTGCGGTTTTTTTTTATTATATCTGTTACCCTTTGATTCAACGGGATTGGCGCCTGGAAGGCGGACTTTGAGGCCTAATCAAGGGACTTTGAGGCCTAATCAAGGCTAAGGAATGATCAGAGAGCACGTTTGCGAGAGAGACGCGGAATGCGTCGCGAGTGCGAGCGGTCACCTTCCAGCTGTCAATTCCGTTGAATCAAAAGATAAGTTTCTTTTATGGTAGTTGATCAATTTCGTAGGACAAAGTTTCTTTGAACTCGTCTTTAGTTTTGAAGCTATGCTACTTCTATTGAAGAGGTCGGGTTGCGGACTTTAACTGAATGTAAGTGTGAACTTGTTGGAAATTCATGCAGTATTGTTTTCGTACTCTTTCGTTAACTTTACCATCAAAATCAGGGAAAGCTCGCAACCTGTCTCCACACAAATCTGGGAGCTAAAAAATCTTTGCGGAACGCTATTTTTTTGCACAGCTTTCGTTTTGATGATATTGCCCTGCTGTGCAGGCAAAGTTCCTCAATGTCTTTTCTGATTTGAGGTTGGTCTGCTGAGTGGACGATATCGTCGCAAAACGCTGTTTTTTGCACTTCTAACTTCAAAGCTGCTCTACTATACTGCTTGAGTACGCTTACTGATATAAGTTTAACTACTTAAGGTTAGCTGTTTTGCTATGCTGAAGTAAAGGTATATACCTTGAATGGAGAAGGAGAAGGCACCAAATGACTCCGCTTTGAAATAGATCGTTGTTCAGCGTAGTGAAATACCAAAAGCAAAAATAGTACAGAGAATTTGAGTTCTGCAACTAAATCGCTGCTACGGCACGATAGAACAGCTTCAAAAACAAAGAAAGTACTTTCGTGACTCGCTCATCCAGCATAGTAAACCAGTTTCAAAACGAGATAGACGTCGGCTTTGCCTTGCAATCTAGCAATAGCTCAATTTAGACTGAAAGGGTTTCACTCGACAATAAATTGATTTTCGAGCATCGTAGACGACCGAAAAAAAAGGAATACAGATCAAATGAACCATATCTGCAATGAAGTACTACAGCAAAGAAGAGAACATTGGAAACAAAAGAGTGATGCCAAAGAAATTGAGCCTAGCATCTAGCGCCAAGAGGCTACGCTCCAAGGACAAAATCTGACACAGTGCGCTTCAGCTGCAATAGCGGCACCGGCGTGAAAGCAGCTACCGGCTGCAAAAGCGACAAACGGTGCGGTCCCGGCGCGGTCTGGAGGCTCCCCTATGAGGATTTAGCTGCTCAAGTAGAAAATCGGTAGCATCGCCCAAAATTCTGTTAAAAATGTACGACAAGCTATGGAAAGGAGAAAAAAGTAGTACTGCATTCTATAAGGTTTGCTCTATCGCATCGTTACTTGAACTCCTTCTGAGGATTGATATAAAAGTTTTAAAAAATTGTGAAACTTGACCATTTCAAAAAGATGGGTCGCAAATTTTGGATATTTTCTGAAAGCTCACTCACTATGCTGCACTTTTTCATAATCATTAGAAAGAGAATGAAATTCTGCATCGAATACTTCCAAGATCTCTTAGAAATCTTTGTTCGATCATATGTGGCGTCCATTTGAAAAATGCGAAATTACTTTCGGAATGACCTAATATTTTCATTCCCCGCCTCCGTCGCGCGACCTGCGACACGCATCAGCTGAAGTAAAGGTCGCGAATAAAATGAACGCACAGACCTTGTTTCTTTGTTGTTTTTTTCGAATTGTCGTACTTTTTGTGCAAAAAAACCAATTTTATGGTTATCCTTTAGAATGTGATTCTTTTACTTTTAGGAGCTTTTCAAGTCTCCTATCTAGTCATAAAATTTCGCATGTTTCTTTACGTGCAGTTGTATGTACTTCTGTTTTTGCTTCTCAGCTCGTTTTTTTCTTTCATTTATCTGCTTTTTTCGAGGCCGATGTTGCTACTTTAGACTCTTCTAATTTTTTTTGCTTCTGTTGATATGTACTTTATTGCTTTCGACATCTTTCTAATCCACATTCATTTTCATGCATATTTTGCTGACAAAATCACGAGTCCGTCATTAATCTACCCATTTTGAAATTAGAATCAGTGTCAACTTCATCGTGTGAGAGTGGTCATGTTTAGAAGCTTCATAGCCTACACATTATTCTACTAGAATGTTATTTTTATCAGAAAATTTGTTTTGTATCAACTAAGACATACTATGTTTTCGTTTGCATGATTTGTCAAATGTATGAGCTATACTTTGCTTCAAGCAAAAGTAATAAACATTGGAAGAGGGATTTTTCCTTGATAGGATGAACGAATTGGTGGAAAATTCAATCTTACTGTATCAGACCTAAGAAAAACTTCACATCACTTCATCATCATCAACTTCAAACTTCAACTCTGATGATGGAGAACCAAAGATTTCTTATGCCCAGTGTGCAACTGCACACATTCCCATTCTCGCAACTCAATTATATTTTCCTTGTGGCACTTTATCAATCAAAGTTTCCACTAATCGCGCAACTTGCTTTTTTTGAGAAGTTTCCTATTCGTCGGAGCAAGAACTTTTGTTTAAGGGAGGAAAAATATACCTTATCTTTTACAAACACCTATCACAATAAAAAAGGCACCATGTAAGTGATGTGCTACATGTCAAATGAACGATTACCAAGAAAAGAAGCGAAAGATGTCGTTATATCTACGCAGCTAATAAGCTACCCTTTATTGCTCAAAATTTTGCTAGAGTTTCTCATTTTAGTTTGGAGAGAGTGATATAATACAAACCTAGAATTTTCAAGTATAGCTAAGAAATCAAAGCGTTGATAGCTGTTTCTAGAAAGAGACTGTAGGTAACGTTATAAGATTCGATGCATTTTCAGCGTTTCTGGTTAGCGGATGTCTATCAGAAGAAATTTTTGTTTCCGATCTCTAAACAACAAACCAGATGCGTACGCAACGAAAAGAAATTTGTTTTACCTCTGCAAACCATGAATAGGATAATCTATGAGTGGAATTTCAAAAAGTTGTTATCTTATGGCAGTTATTGTCGTGAATCATCTTATTTCGCTGCAACCGAGACATTTCTGTTTAATAGAAATTTAGTCTCTGCACGGAAATATTCTAAACGTTGTATCAAATAAGTATTATGAATTAATGTTGTTCAGGCAGAAGTTTTGGTAAATTTCACAGTTTAGAAATGAGAGCCTGCTAAGTTAACCGCAAAAAGCCCCATTTAACCCATTGCTGCTGATGTGGACCACCGTGACCCACGCAGTTTTTGCTGCTAGGGACGATGTGGGCCGCCGGTGGCCCACCTGTTGCAAAGTCATATCCTTTGTAGGTATAGTATCTCTTCCATACATTGATATTTTTTCCAATTGTTTGCCCTCTTGAGACCTGTAGGCTCCTGTAGGTCGTTTGCAAAATGTTCATAACTGTTTGCAAAACAACCTTGCAATTACCCACAAAATTTTCCCACGCCGAAAATGTTGTGCAAAATCGCCTCAAACGACCTGCAGGAGACTACTGGTCCCACAGCGCCACCACGCAAAATGAGGCGGCGTCGTCACTGGGTTAACAAAAATTCAAGCACATTTTGACTCGCTTACCGTATACTTACGGTAATACCATGCGCGAATCCAATACGATATCCGTATAGCGTGCCAAATGGACCTTCCGTGTGCAAGATGAACCCTCGACAGGCTGAACACCGGATTTTGAACCGCCTACCATACACCTACCGTAACCCGTAAGACACCAAAGAGATTTATGATCTCGTTTAATCCACTAAAATAAAATGCCCTTTTCGCTTGACACAATGATTTGCGCTGAACTGAGGAAATGGCCGTTCGATCTAGCTAATAAAGTTTCCTTCTGTTTTGAGTCATTGTTATGAAATTCGCATAGCCCGCAACTGCCATTTTCCGCCGCTGATGGTGCAGTAAAAACCTTATCGGGGTACTTTCGTGGAAAGATATGACTTATGTCCATTCGGCAAGAATGTGGAATTTCTGTGTCTTGTTGTGTCTTGTCTCGATTGTCTTGGTTAACCTTTCACAATTTCCTAAACATCATTCAAATCAATCTAATAGCTTTTCAGTCCTTAATGCGGCACAGTCTCGACAATGGAGAAAGCTAAGAAAGATGTCGGGCAGAAATTTCGTCAAATTAAGCATAACCTAATCAAGTGAATTTGATTAACCCCTAAGTATACTTATTCCGCAGTAGATTACATGTCCGTTATCGCTCAATTGCCCTCAAAGTTTATGAAGGCTATTGCATGACGAAGGCGCAGAAGCACTATCAATGGAGCGGGTGCGAACGCGGCGCGCGCGTATCTTCACCGTTGTAAAAACTGCGCCTCGCGCGCTCTGCGGCTAACAAAACCGCGGCCGCGCTCAAAGATATAGCGTCTTCGTCATGCAGCAGCCTGTATTTGTTCAACGTTTTTATTAAGCCTGTTTACAGTTTGACAAAAAAAGAGGAAGATGTTGACCTGGAAATCATCAATGCGCTTGAGCATCGTAATCAAAAAGTCATCAATGCCGTCTCTCTGTATAGAAAGCATGTATCAAATACTATAAAAGCTGGGTTGCGAGAAGAAAATGTTGACAAGCGAAGGGTGAGTAGTTTTTTTTTTTGTAAAAGCTGTGACATTCGTCACGTAGGAGCCGCATGAAATTTGCGTATGAGCGGACTCCTCAATGACAGTTCGCCCGCTAAATGCGTTCGGGTGATACGCGAATTTCGCGCCATTTGTACGTTGTCACTTCGGCGCTGCTGGCACGGTAATTTCGTGCTTGTATCGCTGATATGACAATTTTGTGTTAAAGGCAGTAGCTCGGGAAAATTGCACTGCGGGCTTTCCACGACTACACGGCCTTCCGGACCAACTGGATCCGGTACTGCGCTTGAAAAGTCAAAAAAATGCTTTTTTGGCGTTTCTGGGCCTTGGAGATTGCTGGGAAGGCGGGGCGAGGGATTCACCCCAAAAAGAGCAACTGGCTGCTGGAGACTGTAACTCCACCTACTTTGGCGGCAATTGGCTGATCAGCCTAGGCAGCCACCGCGATACAGTTTGGGCTGATCAGGCTGATCAGCCAACTGCCTCCAAAAAAGGTGGAGTTACAGTCTCCAGCAGCCAGTTGCTCCCTTTTGGGGCGAATCCCTCGCCCTACCCCTCCACCAATCTGCAAGGCCCGAAACGCTAAAAAGGCTGCGAAAGCTGTGAAACAGAACAAGTTAAAGAAAACACACTTTTTACGATTTTCGCAAAAAATTTCACCACAATCGAAGAAATAAGGGCTGGGTGGTTGTCTGCGTTATGCAGAAGCGAGATCTATAGAGTCCACGAGAAAACTGCGTAAGAGGTAAACTAGGAGAAAAACAGGATATTTTCGGAAACAAGGTTTTTGCCAGATATCTCGTCAAAATCAAGAAATGTGGGTTTGGGACGTTGTCAGCGTGAAAACAGAGATCAAGAGTTTCAAAATGATAAATAACTTGCTAAAATTGGGTTCGAAACAGCGAAGAAAAGGGTATCAGAGCCAAATGCCCCCCGCCTGCGTTCGGGGTGGCGAGGTAGCGCGCAGCGCGCAGTGACGCAGACGAGCAGCGGAGACAGACCAGAGACGACGGGGCAATTTGCTCTGGTCCTAGATCTCCGCCGAGCCTCAACGAAACCCAGCAACATCATATATCATTCTGATCGCCATGACAAGATGAGGGGAACAGACAACGCCCCAAGCTTTGAAAATCACGCATTAACGAGATAGACCAGCGTTTTCGTGCGCGACTCTCTGCACAAGATTCAAGCGCAGTTTCTCGTTTTTTATTCAACTCCAACGGCTTTTTTAAACTTCTGAAACTCGATTTTGGTCAAATAAGAGGTTAACTTAGAAATGTTGTACTGAATTCTGGCGAAACTTTCATAGAAACCTTCTTTTCAACGTAAAAAAGGCTACAAAAACGCAAATTCTCGTTTTCGCTGAGATAACCTAAAGACATCATTTCCTATATTTGCTTCATTAATTCGTTCCGATATAGTCAGGTAACATCCGGGGCTTCGCCCCGGATGACTTCAGTTTTTTTCCAGGTGAAGGTTGTGTCCCCTCATAGCCCTAAAAGTGAAGGTTACCAGAGCACGTGGCTCTGTGTATCGAGGGTATGGCATAAATAACGTTCGCGCACAAACTTAAACATCTTTCATTGACTATGGTAGCCGTGAACACGTGGACCTGCCTGAAAACTGCAGAAGTTTAAATTAGTGGTACGCGGCTCGTAGTTTGAAGGCACGAGGCCGGTACTGCTTGAGCAGATAGGCAATTTACGAATAATAAGCGAATAATATGATACTTCAGATAGTTCAAAGCGATGTGAGCAAATAATAATAACCGCAATGAAAACATAGAAAACTGGGCGTCTGTGGCGGCTTGAGGCTTATGGTATAGCCTAATGTGTACAGGGCGTATGGCAGGCCCTTTTTAGTACAATAAGAAAGTGGTTCAGTGGTTATGTTTATCAGGATATTGACAACGTGCTCGGGAGAGCGCAAAACGAAGAGTGCGGGGCTACGCGCCCCGCCCCTAATGCAAGAAAGGGGGCCGCCATCGGCAGGGGTTCTGGCGTGGCCAGAACACTCCGCGCAACGACAGCCAAAAAATTAACATGACAACAAAATTACAAGTTAACACAAATACAAATGAAATATCATTCCTTGGAGGTGCCTCGTATTGGTCGGAATGGATGTGGCAGCTGGTCGTGGTTGGTGGCGGTGGTGGTGGCGGTGGTGGTGGCGGTGGTGGCAGGCGGTTGGTGGCTGGTGGCGGTGGTGGTGGCAGTTGTGGCAGGTGGTCGGTGGCTGGTGGTGGTGGTGGTGGTTGTGGCTGGAGGTTGATTGAGACGATGGCAGAGACGGTGGCTGGAGCTGCTTGCGGCTGGAGGTTGGTGGCTAGATTAAGGGCGTCGACGCTTGTATCCGTGATTTGGGGCATTCCTTTCGGCACACAGCAGCACATTGTGTGGTCGCCCACACTTTGCGCACTGTATGCCGCAATCATCGGGGTGTGCTGGCTTCAAGCACTTCTCGCAAAGCCCGAGCCGGGTGGCTTGGCATGACTTGGAGACGGGATCCGGGTACTTGTTGCAGCGCACCGTCGGATGCGCGTCCTTGTTGTCGTCTATGGAGCAGAATATGCAATTGGAGCGGGGTTTAGACCGCTCCAAAAGCTCAGAACAGGAATAGGTGACGTCGGTGACTCGCTGTTCCAGGCTGCCGATTCGTTCGTCAAGTTGCGTCATCTGCTGGAGGCCGAGTTCGACTTGATGCTGGACAGTTCGTACGGTGTTCAGTATCTCGTGCATCATGCTGGCGGCATCCACGTTGTCGAACATGATGTTTCTCGAAACTTGAGGTCTGGAATCGACTCTGTACCGCCTTATATACACCTTTCTATGCCTGCTCGGTCTCGAGTCCCGCCTTCCTGTCCCTCGGATATTAATTTAGGCTACACTTTGGCAGTAAAGTTTTTTACGAGGATGCTTGTTGTGTATGAAAGGAATGTAGTGGTGCTCGTAAGTGACAGATTGCTAATGGGGGCAATTATGTACAAGTGCATAGCTCACCGCTTTTTTACAAGTTCCTTCTAAATATGAACTGTACTAACCGTGCCGTCACTGAGACTGCAGCAGTAACCAAAACCTTGGCAATTGTTAGTGCTATTTTGAGAATAGCAAACAAAATTTTTAGGATGGTAAGTAGTATCACAGGCCCAAATAGATATGTAAGGCCTGCCATTGTTGTCGTAACACCGATGATCACCAATGCAGCTTTCCAATGGTTTCTTATGGTGTTCAGGAGGGGTTCAAGGTCTGGCAGGGTAAAGTTCAGGAAGTCTGACCAGGAGTAGTTCACATCTTTGGGTGCGTTGTATTCAAACACATTTCTGTAATCAGAATAATGGTAGACTAACGTCCCATTTATGGGCAGGTGTATGTGGGAGCCTGTGCATGCTGTGAAGCAATTGATGCGCACTATTGCGGAGTCAAAGTGTAGCTTCTTCTTGGTGATGATGGTATCAGGACCACAATCCAGTGCAAGTGCCTGTGCCTCGCAGTAAAGCGTGGTCACCTGTGACTCTGCAGAGCGGCATGAAACTGTCACTTCTGAACTTGCTGGCAGCTGTAGCATCCACGCAATTGACTAAGTTGAACGTCGCAAGGGAGGTCAGCCACATAGTCGGAGCTGTTGACAAACATTTCAGCTTCAATAACTAAGACCACCTCTCCTTGATCAGTTTCTGCTGTAATCGTATCAGCCGACTGATTCACTGTCAGAAATGGTGTCTGTATGGGTAGACGATATGACGCATCATGGCGTATACTACCGATATCTCCATCTGGACATCTACAATGATTTGGTAAACTGGCTCCTTCTGAACAAACGCATTCTAGATTGCCATTGCACGTGTGAAAATTGTTCACAGCATCATTTCGGTCCTTGCATTCGACCGCTATTTTGTGCGTGTCCGGTACAATGAAGGAGTCAACGTCGGATATAGCGAACTTGTTTGACATCATTGAATCTACAGGCTTTTGTAGGGCTATGACTGTAACATTCATTCCATCAACGCTTTGGCTAATGTAAGGATCGACTTGTAGTGTTTGCCTTGTTGTAATGGATTTCAACTTGGTTTCAACTTCCAGATGTAGGATGGGTTTCCATTCCGCACATTCTAAGATCTCGTAGACGATTTGGGTGCGGGGAACGTGAGATACTCTGTAGAAGGTACATGATGGAAGCGGCAAAAGGCATCCTGCACACAATAGTCCTCCACAAGAATACTGACAACCTGAATAGCCAGGATAATGACTAACAGACTCCAATTCAGGAACACTCTCGTTTCTTTGGAGTAGATCGCATTTTTGCTCAACGCATGAACCCATCTGTGGACATCTTCTAGAGAAGTGTATCTGTAATTCAGTTTCTCTTGTGAAATACTTTGAGACTTTGACACATTCCAGTCGCATTGACTTCATCGTGATTTTTATGAAGCCCACACCTTCGCCCTGCTGGCGAATTTCGATGCACTGTTCTTTCTGCAATGTGTTGAACAAGATTTCACGCCTGAATTTTTGTGAGCAGTGTTGTTTCGGCCCACATACCATATCTACGGAATGACGCATGTATCCGTTCTGGCATGCAGCAGCTGGCTGGATCATGCACAAAGACATGACGCACGCCACAGCCATAAGACGACCGCTAATTGGTATGGGTGAAAACGAATCGAGCGTAAAAACGTTCTGTTGTGGTCTTGGTGTAGCTGGTGTTGCTTTGCGCCATTCCGACCGTTTCATTCTGCATACAATCCAAAATGTAATCATTGCTAGCGCAATAATCAGGTAAACGATTATTCCAACGCTCAGTATTGCTCCGACCGGCCAACAGTGTGGGTTTCCGATCAATGATGTACTCAACAATCTGCCAGCGTAATCACAGAACGATGGCGGGGTACAAGAGGTCTTAACCAGTATCGATTCATTTCTAATTGAGAATTCCATACTGACATTTACACTTTCATCGTATGGCGATGGAGGCAGCTTAAACTGGATAGTTTTCTGCGT